TTTGTTGCTTGCAAACCAAAAATGAGTTTTGTTAGAAATCAAGTTTTTTAAATGTGGTTAGTTTTATTGAGAAACTTTTCAAAAAATGTGTGGCATCTAGATAATGAGCTCATATTTAGTGTGAAATATCAAATGAAAAAGAAATGGAGGTGTAGAACTACAATGTTTTGAATTTTTATTTGTTGGAATGTCATCATTAGAAATATAAGTTTTGAGTTGACATTCAAGGTATCTCAATTTGTTTACTGACACAGTAAAGAAACATTGATTGTATGTTATTGTCTGGAAAAAATGTTAACTGATTTGAAATCTAATCAATACAGTTTATTGTATGATTTTCACTATAAAAAGGTTTTACAAAAACCGAGACAAGGCAATAGCTTCCTCAAGCATAAACTGCTAAATAATTGATTAAATAATCGGGTAAAAAAACTAAAAATATCAGTAAAGTCTGTATTAAGTGGAAAATAAATGTATTTTCAACTTTGTTTTATTAGCTCTATTTAGGGACAAATTTATAATATGGTACTACTTCAAGAAAATGTGTCTTGAATAAAGCATTATCAAAACCAAGAAATTTTATATAGCTTGTATTGAGTCTTTCTTTTTAACAGTGGTGCAATTTACAAAGAAAGGCAAAAAATCAAAATTAAATTATGCAGATAAAATTTTACATATCAAACTTTTTGCAATAACATTTGCCAAGTTTTGTGAAATAACTCCACTTTCGAAATGTTTTCGTTGAAAATTAAATTTTGACAGATAATGCAGTCACATGACTACTATTTTTTTGATAATTTTTCATTTCTGAGTAAGTAGAAATTGATGTCAGTCAACTTCAATCAACAATATTAAGAAAATTCCGTATGAAGAAGAATTTACTCATCACATTGCATATACTGTGTCCAAGATGCAGAGGGTTGGCATGGAAAATCAGAAACAGTGAGAAATACATGTAACCAACCACATTACCAGTTTTAATTTTTTATATAAACCCCAAAAGAAATCTCCTGATATAAGTTAGCCTTTTTAATGACACTTTCACTAATGTAATTGTTGAATTAGTAAATTTTGAGACATGAACTTTTTTTAATTTAACTGACTTTGTAGGTATCTCTCGAAGTTTCCAATTTTTTCATGCTAACCTTTCTTATTTTGGACACATTGTGTAGTCAGAGAAAAAATTGTACCCGGATTGACAGTCTTACTGCAAAAAACAATGGGATACATTTGAAGCACCTATAATGTTTCCAATTGATTGTACATTTTTATTTGGGTCTGATTGTTAATCTGATAATTAAAAATCTTAAAATGTTCAACCATTAGATATTGTTAAAATGAAATATTCTTATCATCTCAAAACAAATCAAGTAGTTGCTTGAAAAAAATAATATAAAACATAAGTAATGACAAAGAGAAATGATAATTTTGTTTTACCTCATCAGTATTGCTAGCCTGTTGAAGTGTGTACTCTCTCACAGCTGAAGGGGAAAACTCTACAATATAAGTCAGTATATCGATGGAGGCTGTTTTAGTCTTCCTGTCATCTATAGCGAGTGTTATTTCCAGAGCCGGCAATATTCCAAGTGTTGTGAGTGTTTTGTAAAATGATTCCTTTGCTTGAGGTTGCAAATTTTGTGAATAATTACAAAATTCTTTTAGAAATAGAACCAAGTCCCTTCGTTTAGAATCCGGCGTACTCAAATCAGTTAGCACCGTGAAAAGTTCTGTCAAAAACTTTTCATCCTCTTGAACTAGTGACACTATTTCCACTTTATTGAAAAATATGAAACTGCTTAAGGTGGATAACATGTTTTCTTCAAAAACCGAGGGTGTAGGTAAGACAATATCTTGAATATACTGTACACGAAAAGTCTGATGTATTTTCGAAAGAAGTTCAGAATTTTTAATAGGAATCGCTTCTTTAAATTTGGCTTGCTGTTTGAGATATTCTCGGTGTCTTTTGGGAGTTGGAGATGACCTATCATATTCTAAGCAACCTACTACATCAAATATCAATTCATCACTAAACATTACATCAAACAAAACGTTCTTATTCAACAGGAATATGTTTTTGAATATATCGTACAAATGATGTAAACCTTCGGTATTTTCCAAATCTTCACACATATGAAACAGATTTATTAGCTTTCGTATATATCCTTCACTTTCAATAGCAGCAGCCAATTTTTCTTTTCTCATTGGAGAACCTAAACAGTTGCTAATTAATTCACTTATATCTTCTAAACGACTGAGTTCACAACTCGGTAATTCTATTGGCGGTGCAGAATCTGACATATCATCAAACCTTTCATCTTCCGATTCTTCCACAATATCCTGAGTAATTTCGACAGATGGGTCTTTTCCCTGAACTTGACAAATTTTTTCCCAGATTTCATCACAACCAAGTTTTTCTTGAAAGCTCAAAGCTAAATCGAAGTTATCTCCCTCTGACCACACTATCAAAGTATCTTGCTGTTTTTGATAGGCAGTATCAGGTTGTATTTTTGACTCCAATAATAATGAACCATCACTTTCTGCACGCACTAGGAGCGATATTCCTTTCAAACGATCCACATATGAAGAGGAAACATGGCCTGTACCTCTATCATCCCATTGTCTATCGGCATTTAAAGCATACAGCTTCACTCTCCTCCTTGTATCAGTCATGATCGAAAGTTTTCTAATCCTTTTCAGTACACTGGCAAATTTCCCACATTCCGCCTGCAATAACAAAATATCAAATTTGACATAACATAAGCATAAACATAACATTTATGTCAGATGATTTGTTTCAACAATCGAAACATCAAAACAAATATAACCAATAACAATCATTAACAAAATTATGTACTAACCTGAATGTTGAATGATTTCCTTATTATAGTCAACAGCTCACGTTATTTGTAAAAAGATTTTCTAATACACTAATACAAACGCGCTTATTCCTTATGAACAATGAAAATCAGTAAATTTTAATTTATAACATGTCAATCGTATAATAAAACGCTGAATGTTTAACTCTATTGTGAATCAAATATTTAGATTACTCGAACACTTCTGATTCATTTTCGTAAACGTACATTACACTAATTATCGCCATATTGAATTCACAACAACGCTCAAACGAAGTCGGGGAACGGGGTTCGCGAAGGCAAACGCAAGAAATCTGCGCACGAACAGGCGCGAAATTCGTTTTCACTATATGTGTTTTTAATTTGATTGTTATTCTCACGTTACGAGAATATTCACATTTGAAGTAGATAGAGTATGAGAACTACTTTTTAGCGTACCTATATTGTATATTAATGAAAGTTATAGATATTATTATTTACACTTTTCTTTTCGAAATAACGATGAATTTTGGTTAATCAACAAATATCTGTTGCCGGCAATGATGAGATTGTGGAAATATAAGTAATACCAACCCATATCACAGAGGAAAGTACATCAGTCGAAAGGGTAAGGGAGCCAGGCTCCAACCTGTTTTAAGCCGTGATGATTCGAACACAGAGAAAATAAATTATTTACTCATCTGTGCTAGTGATGGGGAAATCGAATAATTCGAATAATTTATTGTACCTATTCGATTCATTTCAACGATTCGATTTTAAGTTTTCGGTTCCGTGCTTGGTTTGATGTTACTCTTATCTATGCTAAGATAAGGGCTAATTCATGTTGGAACGAACATCGCATGAAAAGTGCGATTTAAAATGGCGTCGTATTTATCGTGAAAAAGTTTAAAAAATTGAACCTTTTTTGCGATTTCCGCAAAATTTTATACGTCAACATACAATGAGGTTATATTGCTATTTTATTTGACTCTCGAAATTTTGAAATATTTGACATCGAAATTGAATCCGAAATGGACGAATGTGTCAGGTTGTTCAAACCATATCAATTTTACCGTATATATTAATTAAATGAAATCTGTGGTTAACACAAATTGTAAATAAACTAACAAAATAAAACTCCAGTTGGCTTTTATTAAAACGTGAAACGTTATAAAACGTGAAATGAAATTACAAGAAAACGAATAAAGTGATGAAGATAAAAGATGAAAATAACAACAGAGTAAAAGAAATAAAAATGATAAAATATGATAAAATAGATATCAAACCAAATTACTTCACGACGTTTTCATTGTTAGTTTCCACAATCGTCTTCGGCTGATGATTGGACTATCCCTATTACGAGTCATGACTGTGGGTCATTCGAACGTTTTCACCTATCCCGTCTTCCTCTCGCCGGTTTAGCGAGAGTTGTCTGTTTTACCGCTTGATTACGGGTTTCCATGTATTGCGTATCTCTATGCCAGCTTGACTGACTGTGTCGTTTGACAACATATAATAATATTAATAATAAATGGTCTTTATTTTTATATTGGCGGAGCTTAGCTTACGCTATTCTACCACTGAACCAAGAATATTTTTATACATGAGTGTATAATTTTTATACTGTTTTTTGGGTTTATCACCTTCCACAATCTGAAAAAATGAAAGATAAATCAATAAACAATCCGCTGAAGTGTGGTAGGTAAAGGGCAAACTGAAAATTTCACCCCGAAAAGTAATTGCGTAATATATAAACTACTGGAAAGTCCATTCCGTCACTAACTTGTCGTATTCATAAATTTCGACTACAACTTGAAAAAAATCAATTGAAAACATTGAATATTGATACTTAGCTTTCTTAAGTGGTAAACGTTTTGGAAAACAATCCTTTTCCGTTTTCAAAACCTGTATTATGTTGTTAATCGAACACAGGCATTCTGAACTTTGTGGATCATGGAAGAAGTTTCTAGTTCAAGGCACTGTCATAGTTGAGAATTATTGAAATAAGTGAATCACATATATTTCAATTTGTGATTATTGACAAAAATTGACAAATTATTTATGGCTCTATTCCGGTAACTCTTCACCAAAAATTATGACTGATGATTTACTTGAATTGATGTTCAAATAGTGCTTCCTTGATATTTTCAATAGCTCATCCACTTCATTATTCAAAAAATAATTATCAATTTTTGCGGAAAAAATTAGATTGGTGTCATCATGAGTGTCAGTATGCATTTAAAAATTCTTCAGTACATTGGAAAATTCAGAGATGTAAATAATAAATAGAAGAGGTGCACAATGAATATGGAAGAAAATATAACGGCCGATGTCCATTAAAAAAATGTACCTACGTTTCTGGACGCAGAGTTAAAAAAAATGACTCAAAAAAAAACAGGATTTTTGCAGGAATTGGCGAGTTATTATTAGTGTTACCACTTTTTTACTGTAGCTCTAGCTGAAATCTTGGCTGGTGGTAATTTAAAAAGTATAAAGGCTATCTGATTGGTTTCACATAAGTTCATTTTCATCTACCAATGCTGATTGAAATTTATAAGCGGTAAAGAATATCATTTTTAAATAAAACTACACACTGCTGAGTATTTAATCAAAACCGCCCAGAAAAATCAAAAAATTTCTCTACTTATCCGATAGGTAGATACCTACTTATCAATAGGTAAAAAGGTTGTCAAAAATCGTTTGCATCATGGATCATTTCTTTCAAAAAACCTCAAATGGATTGAAGATCTGGAAATTACATTTTGCTACTCATCCGCATACGTGTTAGAAAGATTGTGAGAAAAACCTACCGGTTAAACCCAGAATCGCCCATCGCATTTTGAAAAAGCAACTATCCAGATATTATCTGGTGCATCATGTGAAAGACACGAATTTGCATCATCAATTTGAGTTTTGTAAATGGTTGCTGATAAAAAGTCCGGAGTGGTGAAGATAAGTTTACCAAAAATGGAGTATTCGTCATAATGACTAATTTTTTGGCTGATGAAAATCCACACCTTATCGTGACCGATATTTCCAAGAAAGTTGGAGTTATAACGTTTATTGTGCTATAAAAAACAATAGAATTTTATGTTTGTTCATAAATGATGAAGATTTGAATGGTGATGGATACTGTATCATACTACACAATGTTGTGAGACTTTCGTTGAATAATTTATCAATGGGCTCATTCAGACTAATTTATTTTTTTATTGAAAATAAAATCCCCCAATTATAAATGGTCCTCAATTTTTTATTGAAAATTATATATTATGAAAGTAAATCATCTCCCAAGTATCCCACAAAATTTTCCGGTTTATATCTCAATTAACAACTGAGCAAGAGTAATTGAAAATGTGAGATCGCCCGCGGTACATCGTGACGTCACACCAGGCAAACGAGCTTCGAGCGGTACTATAGTCAATTCAATTTAATTTTCTTCAAAGTAATGTATATATCAATTCTGGGTAACTGGCATTTTTGAGACAAAAGTTCTATAATAAATAAGACATAATTTCGAATTTTTCTCTATGATGAAAATAGATCTTCGCTCAATATTATTTTTCGAACTCCAGTTTTCAACTAATATTCCAGAGAAAATAGAATCTGATGATGTATCAATAGAAGTCATGTCTGATGTACTCAAACTCTCACTGGCCTCGGGAAAACTTAGTAATAATTTTCACCAATACTTTTTGTATTTTCTATTTCTTTAGAACGATTTCTTTTTCGTTGGTATATGTATAATATTTCGGTCTGTTTAGCTTTTGATCTTCGAAAAACCTGTTTATTAACTTGAATTCCAACATCAAAGATCTTTTCCTGTGTACCTGCTTCATCAGACATGATTTGATTTTCAGCGATATCTTCGTTATAAGTATTCAACAAAATTTGTTTTTGGTGGAGCTTTAGATGTATGGGCCGACGGTCTATCAATCTGGCAATCAAATATATGCGGAATTACGCCTGGTTTCAATATAATTTTTCCCACTTTCATAGTTTTGATATACATGCAATTTTCCAAGTCTGTTTCAACCTAAAATTCAAAGTAGTGCTCAGAGTAAACTATAATTATTTTTATTACACGCTTTATATTAGCTTCACCTGTATGTATGTATGTATGATTGGTTGTATGCATGTTTGTGTGTAACTCTTAAGATCGGGATCTGTATTGACAGAATTATCGGCATTACTGCTTGATCTATTCGCGAGCAGATGGCGCTGTTCGTAACCTAATTGATATTTCTTGATCTATTCGCGGGCAGATGACGTTGTACGTAAATATCAATTATTACTTGATCTGTTTGCGAATAGATGGCGCTGTACATAACTTTCAATTAAAAATATAAGATACACAACTCAAAAGATATTGTCGAAGATAAAATATTATTGTCAAAGTGTTATTATGTTGAAGAATATAAGTTATACAAAATACAAATTGAAAGTAATATTTGAACATTTGGTAATTTCAGCATTTTGGGGTGAAAAAGTAGTCAGAAAGTGATAATATATATGCCACATATTGAAATAAATAATAATAATAATGATAATGAATATTCTCACGCAACACATAAATGTAAGTATGAGAATATAAAAACTAAAAAGCATAAAAATATAAACGTGAATGGATAAAAAATAACAGTAAGAATCAACTTCGCTTGAGCTATTCGCGGGCAGATGGCGNTATTCATATTCACGCAGTTGACACACTGCAGTAAACAACACACAACTTGCTTTCTACAGCTTAAGCACACGTATTTTGCTTATCTGCCAGCACTCCCTTGTCGCCGAGTCGACTGATGTGACGTCAAGCTTGACCACGCCCCGTTTCGGTGAACACCACATTCAACAATTAATTTGAGGGGGAAGATGAAGAGTGAAAATTCAGATTTTTTGCAGATGTACTATTTGAAACATAAACTTTCAAATTATGAAATTAAAAAAAATTTTTAATGAGCCCATTGAAGATGCAGAAAATAGTTTGTATAGTAGGTTTCACGGTATATGGTATTGGATAATCGATTATACTTAATAAAACCAATTAGACCCTTAAGTCTAATACTGTGTAATACCTGAATCAAATAAAGGAAAGAGAATCACAAACAATACCTACACTACATTACACAATGGGATTAAACCAGGTAGTTTATTGCAGTTGATACTACACTATACTACACAATGGGGGATTGAAGCGAATAGTTAATTTCAGTTGAAAAGCCAATATCATTTAGAGTGAAACATACTATACCAACAGGATGGAGCACCGCCTCATATAATTGCGGGACCGTAGGCGTATTCCTCGATCAATTAATTTATGATAGGTGGATTTCAATAATGGGCCGTATCTTTAGCCAGCACGATCCCCCGATATGTGTCCTGTGGACTAATATGTATGGAAACATATTAAAAATATTGCATATGCAGATCCTGCAACAAAAGTAAGGATAATATGGTTAACAAAGTTTTACAAGCATTCAACGCCATACATGCCGATGAAATCAGTCATGCAGTAAATAATATTTGATGAAGAGAGATGATAAATGCCTGAAAGTTTACGGACCTGTCTTCGAACATATTTTGAAACAATTTTTATATTTTCTGTGAAAATATAATGCAATATTTTTTCATTTTCGTTCAACACTACTGTAGTTCGTTCAATATTGTCTGAAAGTAAAAGAATTTCAAGAATGCAAACATGTCGCTACATCAAAGAAAGCAACATAGTCGCCTCAAGCAAAGAGCACTGATTCACCCACAAAATCATTGAGATATATCTACTCTCTATATCCCTTGAGGACACTGCTAACGAGCCATTAAAAAAGGGATATGCGAAATACCGCGAAAAGAACCGTTCGATGCTTTTTCTGATATTACGTTTAAGATAATATTAATAGGTGTCGTAGATCTATAAAATAATCAGAATATTAAATTTACAAATAAATACAAATGTAGAAAGGGCAAAAAGTTACTGCATTTGATGAATTAGCTTTTTGGAAAAAAATCAAATTTGTCATTAACTTAAATTTAAAAAATTGTGCATATTAAAAGAAATATGTATTATCTGGTGACGTTTGAAAGACTCTATCCATTTTCTTTATCCAACCTATTTAAATCAAAACATCATAATTTGTAGTTATGATTCGTCTTTTGATGTAAATAAATTTGATATTATTCTTATCATTGACACTGATAATATCAAATTGATCGTCGGTATGATAATGAAGATGGATAAGTATTCGAAACATAACCAGATAAGTATACAAATAGAACAGATTTCCACGGTTAGAAATTTGAACATCTGATTTCGAGTTGAACCGCGTTCAAAATTTTGCGTTGTTCGACGTTTCGGCTTCGACTTTGACATTTTTAGGAAGTAGAAGAAGTGTGGCTGCACTAAGAGATACACTATACATTCTTGTTGATTTGGAAATTAACATTCATATTCCTTATTTTATAGATGATTCAGAAACAATTTTATAGATTTAATGGGAATACTTACTTCGAATAAGACATTGCGATAATTTTAATCTGAAAAAAGTACACAGGGATTTGTTGAGTGATTCTTCACTGGATGAATCAATTTCATTAGGATTGATGACAACTGGAATAATTTTTTCTGATAATGAGTCTATGCGATCATCCAGATCCCACATCTCTGCTTCGATTCTGATTGTTTTGTGGATACATTTTTCCCAAGCTTTTTTGTCGACTGTTTCCAGAGCACCGTATAGGTATTTCTTCACTTCACACAGTTTGAAGGTCTTATTATTCCTTGCGATTAATCCTTTAACTTGAGCCCAAGCCAACTCTATTGGATTCAATTCACAGTGATAAGGTGGCAACCGAAGAATTGACATTCCTTTAGTCTTCGCCATCTCATCGGTGACATGTCTGACGAATTTTGACTCCGCTTTTAACATGGCCGATTCAAACGGAATAGCTTTCATTTGTAACCACTCAGTAATATCTGCTTTCTTCCAACACGACGTCGGCAGCTTCTCGACTCGTCTACTGTGGTAACTTGCGTGATCCATTAATATTACGGACCCCTGCGGAAGTTTTAAAAGTATGTTTTTAAACCATTTTTCGATGATAATTCCATTTCTTGATGATAATCCCCATTTTTCTTCGATTCAAACACCATCAATCCATCTTTCACGAATCCTTCACTGCTGCCTATGTGAGTGATGATAAGACGACGACCTTTTCCAACTGGAATTTTCAAATCAGTGGACCAACCTTCCATAAAGGCTTGTCTTCCGCTTTTGATGTTCTGATCTTGTCAAACCTTCGAGACGGTATGAACCCTCATTGACCCATGTTTTATCCAAATAAAAAATAAATTTACCTAGTGTTCTGGCTTTCTTTATTTCTCTTAAATAGTTTCTTCTCCATTCTACAATCTCTGATTTTTTTATTAACATGCTCTTTCTATCTTGCTTTCCAAAAGTGAAATCCGGCTCATGTAATATCTTCCATAATCGAGTTCTTCTTATATCAGGAAAAAAAACTGTCTTCACGAATAACTGACAAAACTTTATTTGATGTAGGTATTTCGTTTTTTATGTAAAAAGAGTGTACTGTTCTCCTAATAGAATTCTTCACTTCTTCATCGATAACCAAATACTTTCTATGCCGTGGATACTTTCGGCTCGAAAAAGTTGTTGTTTTCCTTGATAGCTGTTTATTCAACCGCTCTCGAAGTAAACTGAAGAATATCACGAATAATCCCGCTAAAAAGCCAAGTCGGTCTTATTGATGGGTGCGATGTGTCTGTTGACAGTATAATTCAAAGAAATATCTATTCATATCGTCTTCAAAAAAACAATGTTTTTTCAATCCCCTTCAACTGAATACCTATTTGTTGAAGAATGTCTTCATTACTACTGGACATATTTTAACATTTGTCATAGTAGATTTGTTATTTTGTTTGTTATGAATGTTATGAAGTCGCTTCCCACTGTACTTGAAAGCCAAAACCTTTTTCTTTCTCAAAAATTAATCTCTCCTGAAAATAGATTCCTTTCAATTCAAACAAGATTCCAATGGCTGAGATTGAATGAAATAAGCGAATGAGATATTTATGATTGTCACCGATAACTTCCTGAGAACGTTTTTCCAAATGGATTTATTCTCCAGCTATTCAAATCCAATGTAAATCACCACTTACGCACAGGCACCGCTCTTAGAGCGTCTTAATGATTTTCATTTAGTGCTTGTCTTTTGTCCTCCAAAAAAAAGACTCAGAAATTAACTTCACCAACCTATAAATATAATCGCATCAGGAATCAAATTTTATAATCATTAACAGATGAAATAAAACAACCATCATTGAACAAATTCTATTATGGAAGTAGAATGAAAGTTGTTATGTACTGTCATAACATGAGTGGATTTAACTCAATCGTGACATAAGGTTGTAATTTTATGAATGAATTGAGTGCTTTATCTTGTTTTGTTATCCAGATTGGTGACAAGTGTCTTATTCTGAAACATTGATGTCCGCCATTTAGGATGATAGTGTTTCATGTAAGTGAAAATTTACTTATTTCATGTACTATAAATTGTGTAGCAATCCTGTGAATGATATCTGATTCAATTCCATAACGAATGTTTGGAGTACAAACTGAATAGGACAAGTGTTTTTGTATAATTCAATGTTCATATAAAAGTAGTTGTTTTATATGTGTACATTTGAAAGTAGTTGTTTCGAGAGGGCTTTTTCTTTCAGTTTGTGTCTGAAAGTTACTTCTTTGTGTGATCCACACATCTCTGTGAATATTTCATTTTGGAATTATTTGTTTTCTTCCTTTCTTTGGAAGATTCGCACACTTTTTTGTATAAAGATGGAGAAATAGAAAGTCAAAACCTTTCTTTCCCAAAAAGTAATCTCCCCTAAAAATATATCCCTTTCGATTTAAACAAGCATGTTTGGTCTTAAATTTGAAATTTTAAATTGACATACTCAATTATATCGTTTTTTGTTTACCAAAATAGCCTATAAATAAATAGTTTTTGACAAGCCGGCAAATATTTTAATATTCAGGCATACATTTTCCTATAAAATACATTCAAAGTAGCATATTAACAAACAAAATATAACAATTCCAAGTAATTCAAATTTGAATATTGAATTTGACGTCATTCCACTTTTTTTAATCTTTTCCACTGGTACACTAGGATAAATGAGTTTTGAATCTGGTATAATACACTCATAATGTTCATTACAGATCCCTAATTGTCCATACAATAAACAATAATCATTCGCCAAGGCAGTTCGGAAGCTGATGTTGACACATGTTTTTTCATTACATAATTTTTCATGAATACTAAAACGTCCGGATTTCCTTCTATTTGATATCATTTCCAAGTCCTCAATCAGTGAATCATTCTGTTCTATTAATTGTTTAGTAACAATCCTCGAATGCAAACATGACCCGTTCAATGAGCAGCAGGTTTGACAGGAATGTTTTTCTAAATATTCTGGACAAACACATTCGTTTAAATTCAACCTGGCGCATTCTTCACTAGTACATGAACTCTGTAGACATCTTCCCTGTATTCCACATGAACAGATTTTCAAGCTATTGTGACATGGACAACTATTTTGAAAATTCTTGCAGTTCTAAAAAAAGTAGTCAATATAACGTTCATATATGACATCATTACTGATACCACTCTGAGGGTAAGAACCATCTATTCTGAAAATTAGAAATTTACAAAACTTTCTTTGAACTCTTTCAATGGCTATGTTATGAATCTCATAGAATGGACTCCAGACGATACTTGCACATTCTATTTTCGAACGTACGTAGGTGAAATACAACAGCTTCATGACTTTAATATTGTGAAAGTTTCTGCAATTTCTAACAATGAAAACATAAGCTCTGAGAGATTCTTAAACTTTTTGTGAAATATGTCTACCAAATATTAATTTATGATCGAATATTACCCCTAGGTCTTTGATCTCATTACATCTCAGCAGATCTGAATCCTGTATTACATATGGGAATGTATATAAACCTCTTTTTTTCGACTGTAACTCACTACTTTACATTTCTCCACATTGAGTTTCAATTTATTATTGCTACGCCAGGCAACAAGAAATTCTAATTGAGATTGAAGATGTACACAATCACCTACTTCCTTAATTATAGAAAATAATTTCAAGTCATCCGCGAAGCATAACCGCTCACAAGCTAAACTTGCACATAAGTCATTAATAAACAATAAAAATCGTTGATCAACAGATCCAAACAAATTAAAAATAATTAATTAACAATAAGCGGTTCATGAGGAGATGGGTCACAGAACTGTAGTCTATTTCCTTAAGCAACGATGTAATAAATAATTTTCAGGTAGCTGTTCCCTAGGCGTTGATAACTGAGTCGGTTGAAAAGTGAAAACATTCAATGTTGTTGTATGATTTTATATAAGAAATCTCAGGAGACTTTTATAGTTGAACGTATACGGTGAAAAACAAAAATATAGAACACTGGTATTGATGAATGATATTTCTTTTATTTAAACAACCAAAATTGGTTTTCCTCTTGATTTAATTAAAATGGCTACTTCAGTTTTCTCTCCGGTGAAACGAATGAGCAAATGTGCTTTTTCTGTTGACGAAAAGATAATTATTGTTCAAATCATGCCTGAAAGAAAATAACGCCGGCCGCCGCTGGTAGCCATAAATCAGACGTGACGTGGCTAAGAGCGCGCGAGTGTACGATGATTTCCGCCACCCTAGAAGCAGCAAGAATATTGGTGCCGATTTCGGCGGAACTTTGGCGAAATTTCTACAACATTCATTAACGATATTTAAAGGCTAGCTGCGAGCATATCGACACAGTCAAGTACACAGTCAAGTGGAAGCTACAGTGCGCTACGCGAAGTGATTTAGTAAGACGATAGACATTTAAATAATAGTTGAAGTATTTGTGTATTTAAAGTAAAATAAAGTTAAGTTTGATTATTCAGTGTAGTCAATCATTGATCAACCCACTGGGGAAAACGTAACATTATTCTTAACGTATATAACGTTCTCACACACCAAAATCCTTCGTATACCGTTGATACTCTGTTGGAAATGTGTACGCAAATAATCGGTATATGAATTCAAGAATCAGATAAAAAATGAAGCTGTCAAATCACCATATTCATGAAGAAAAACAGCTTGTTGGTGAAAACTATAACAAACTTGCAATTAGAATAAGAAGTGTATTCATTTATTTTAAGAAAGAAATACCAACCCTCTACAAAATAATGAGAGCCTTGAAAGAAGAGCAAGGGAAGACATTATCTAAGTCAGACATGAGAGTTTCAACATGAGAATAACTAAACTTGACTTAGCGAAAAATATACCGTTGGAAAGATGTGGCAAGACAAAAACTTACAAGTTCACGTCGAACATTTTTAGATGGCTGATCTACCGGACTAAATACGCCTTCTGGAAAAGAAAATCGACTGATTAATCACCCACACTGCAAGTGTTGATTGCGATTGCGTTTTGTTGAGGGCGATTTATGTATGTTTGAGTCAAAGCATTCTGGTGATTACCATGAAGACATGAAAGGCGATGTGTTTAAAGAATTCTTCGAATGAATGTTAGACCTCATTCCACTTAAATCTATAATCGTAATGGATAATGCAAGTTATCATTCCAGAAAAGTTGAACGAATACCAATTAATGCATGGAGAAAAGTGGATATCATTGAGTGGCTCCGACAAAAAATACTATCGTCTATAGTATGATCAAATTCAGCTCATTTCACGGAACATGTGGTAGACAAGACGGCATAGAAACGAATCATCATTATTTTGCGTCTGCCCCTTTGTCATTGCGAATTCAGTCGGTAAATTTTCGCTTATAACTAATATTTTCTTGAAAAAGCAGTTTTTTCCAATCACCAGACATGCAATATTCTTCTCGACGCTCGTCGAGAGGACTGTGATAAAAATAAAAAATATATCGGCCAGACTAAGCGAGCCATTGAAACTCGTTTCAAAGAACACGCAACATAATTTCGGTTTCGAAATCCAGAAAAAATCTAGTGTCGTTCAACACGATTTGGAGAACGTCCATAGAATAAATGAAAACTGTCCGCTTTCTAAAGTCTGAAGAGTACTATGAACAGTGACATTCCGTTCCAAACATTCCATTGTATTCTTTTTTTCTAAATCACTCTGTTCAAATTCGTGGGAACTTCCACGAGATAATTTCCCGCAAATTTCTACCCGAAATCAGTGATGTGTATCGGAAAGTGAAAGAGTGTCCTGTTAGAGTTTTAGATTTGGAAATTACCTTTTTCATCTCGTGATAACGACAACTTGGTTGGTGAAACGCGTCGAGAAGATTATTGCATTTCTAATAATTGGGAAAAGTGCTTCTTTCAGATATAGGTATTCCGAATATTTCAAATCAAAATGTTAAAACAATATTAACTGTGTATGAATAAATGAACATAGTTATTGGTTTTAACAAGTAGGTATTATTGATTAAATGCACAAGCACACATCATTACAGGCAATGAAATAACTAACCCCAACGCTCATACACTTTTTTGTTTGTGACCCTTTCGCTATACAAAAATATGGTGGTCCCGGTAAACTATTATAAACCCGCCTTATACTTGCTGTGGCAAATCATCACAAAATCATAAAATTTTGTTCGAGCACTCTGTCAGCGTTTTGCTTTCATAATGAGCATTCATTATTTTCAAATATTAGGAAACAGAATATAGAGGGGATAATCTGCTGATGAAATTACACCCAGCTAAATCTTTTACTGAACCATGTGAAATTTTTTTTCACGATATCTTCGGATCTATCTTCAGTACAATACATTAGAATATTACCCTTTTTATTCATATTATTTTTTAACGAATCTATACCTTTTGACAGTAATTTTATATTCAGAGATAATGTTGATACAAAATGAAATTGAAATATATCTAAAACTATCCATGAAAAAAATTTCTGATACTTCTTTTAAAAGTCAACCTTTCAACAAAAATTGGCTCCCAATACATAATATAGATATTATATAGTACTGGCGAACTTCCCCGCTTCATTGAAATCCTGAAATCCTTGAATATCCAACAAACATATATCCTCGTCAGCTTTGACGTAGTATCCCTTCTCACGAATATCCCACTATCCGAAACCTTATCCCTTCTCATAACAAAACGTCAAATTCCGCAAGACACGATCAACCTCATCAACCACTGCATATTCAGCACACACGCCCCAATTGGTTCTCCACTCTATCCAGTTCTTGCAAATCTCTAGATGGAGGACTTTGAAACCAAAGCCAGTGACATGTCTCATCTCAAAACCACGTGTTCGCTCCGATAAATGAATGCCGTCTTTGTTATATAACCCCATGGATCTGAAGATCATGCATTCCTAAACCACATCAACTACCTACACTCTGACCTAAAATTTACAATGAAAGTTCTCATCACAAAGTCCAACAGCTCTTTCTCACACAGTGTCCTACTGAAAAGCTATCCATACCAATCGCTATCTCAATTCCCATCATCGTCCTGCCTAGCCGAATTCCGTTTTAAATTCTATCATACACCGATCTTTAAGACTCACCACAACAGAACCAAGGAACTTTACAAACTCAAAGTCGCCCTTCACCAAAACGACTATCCCGTCTCCCGATGAACGGACTGATCAGCCAAAAGTTTTTCTCCCTTGCATCCATGAAGTTACCGACAAAGTAAGCCGAATTCTGAAGAGGCATAACGTAAAAACAGTATTTACAGCAAACAGTCAAATCTCCACTCCTTTAAGAACACACAAGGACACGATACGCAATGAGGCACAGGGTATATATGAAATACAATGTTCTACCTGTCCCAGAACTTACATCTGCCAGACCAATAAAAGAATTTTCATCAGAGCCTATGAACATGAAGTAGCTGTTCGCAAATAAGATCCAGCCGCATCACTCTTCAAACATCACCTTGAAACAGGCCACACAATAATCTTCAAAAACGCCAACACCATTGCTATGGTAAAAAAAAACTCTTCATACCAATATAAATCGTGAAGCCATTGAAATTGAAAAACGTCCCAACTGCGTTAACAAACGAGATGATTCTCAGAGAGATTATTATTGTCTCGCCACACATCTGAAGGTAACACATGTCAATTGGAGAGTCAAGAATTCATTTCCTGCAGGTCGTTTACCTGTACTAATTGCAATACCTCTGCTCTATATCTGTCCAGGAGCATAATTGCTATACCCGAACAACAAGGTTATCAGAGTTCACTTGGAACTGAACAAAGCAAGAACAGAGGCAGTGACGAGACTTGGGGATCAGTTAGATTACGACTCCGTCGAGTCATATAACTTCTGTGTCATTTGGTTCTTGAAAAGGACTTCAAAACAGAAGCCGAAATATTGAACATATGAAAACTACAGACACTGTTCAACCCGGGCTACAGACTCCACCGATATTTGAATCTATGAGAAATGTATTAATTCCTTCAAAGTACCATAGCGAATGTTAATTATCCCCTAGACTCATACCACTTCTTTAATCATCACGAAGCGGCTTGGGTTTATCATTTGATAAAGCTACTGTTCTAGCGAAACATGTTGTGATATATTTTTCAAATAAAGTTTGTGGAGATCAAATCGTGAGGTGTAGTTTTTGAAATTAGTATGGATCTTCATCAAGTAACGACCGAATCAATCAGAAGATTCTTTCATAAAGTTTGCACGCAAAGAATTTACCTTTCTCAAAACAGCTTGCTTTATGGTATCTCGCAATATTTCTCAATCGGCACGTGATAATGCTCACATTTCTTTGCTTTTCGCGTTCCATAGAGTCGAAATAAACTTCTTATCTAATTTTGTATCCAGTATTGCGCAATATATTACAAAATATTTCTAATTCGTCCGCACAACCTTTTAGTTTTGTCTACACACCGTCAATTATATTGCTCAAACCCGAATGGTGTGCAACAATATTTTCCATCTATGGCCTACTTAACATGATTTACCAGATCATATTCAGAAAGATCCTTGTACATGCATTTGGAAGAACAACATAGTCCTTGGGAAGGGTGACACTGATATCCTTTATCCCTTCTCAGCTGACAAGGAGACATTGTTCCTCGAGATGAACAGCAAGCGTCAAACTCCTCACAGTCCTTTGTTGTACCACAGTCACATTCCTCACCAGGCTCTATCAGACCTGAAATTGATTTAAGCACATACAAATACAAATTCTAAGGCCAAAACATACGGGGACATTCAATATATACAAACCATTACCACAATAACTCTCATCATAATCTTGAAGACAATGACCTTTAGTAACAATCGTTTCTAAAATCATGCGTTTACTGCAAGGGGAAAAAACGAAATGTTTTCTTTCCAAATTTTTGGGGGTGTGATCTGTCATCAGGTGTCCTTCACATTCGTTTGTCTTATCATGATCACTTCCGAAACTATGGCCCAGTTCATGAGTTAGACTTAAATGAAACATATATTGGGGTATGGGTGTTCCTGAAATTCATAAATGAATTATTGGGAGTCCTAAAAGAGTTTACTCGACACTTTTTTTTATATTAATCAATTTCAATCATTTTATATTTTTATTATTATACGTAGGTTCTATAATAAATGATTCATCTTCGATTTATGATTTCTCACACACGAGTAATAAACGCCTCGCCGAATTAAAATTAGCCTATTATTACATTAGCAACATTCCTCCCCTCTCCACTAGACTACATCTAGTCTAGAGTAACTGATCAGCTTGGGTCTGATGTGAATACTGGACTTTTTTCCCCCGCTCTTCGACTTCCTTAAAGAATGCGGTGTGTGGTTTCTAGATGGTGTCACTGGGTGGAAAATCAAATAGTAGGTCTAGCAAAAGTTCCACTTGTCTTCCGGCTATAAACATTGCTGTAGAAAATCCTGTTGTTATTTGGCTGCATTCCTATATGTCAGGAGAAATTTCGGTACCAGTCAGGTAATGGCTAATTGTTTTGTTAGACCCGTTTTACAATTTCTCTTTCGAAATCCTTTCGCATATAATTTTTGATTCCTAATTATTGTATCAATTTCTAATGTAGTCCTGACTCAAAATTTCAAAGGGTGTCTATGTCTCCGGCTTAAGGTATAAACTACTGTACCAGACTTTCGATTTGAACAATCATGTGTCTTTCTGTAAAAACAGTAAATTACTGCCATCATGAATTCTTTGCCGTTATCAATCACGGAAAAAAGTATGCCCTTTGCGACTCATATGAGAGTTCTGAATAGATATTGGCATTTGTTTCCTCGACTTTTTATTGTGGAGTTTCTGTGGGTTTCTGAACAACAAATAATGATTGATTATTCTTGTGAGAAAAGGAAAGGATAAGTGATGTTCTTCTTAGTCATGCTGGGGGGTATTAGAGAAGACGCAAACTATTTTCTGTTGCGGGACCTAACACCATAATTCACTGACTCCAAATTATGGAAAACTCCTCTGCAAAAATTTCTAAATATGCGTCCTTAGTAAATATCTACCACCTTTATTAAGGATGAAGAAAATACTGTAACCACTGTACTGTAAGCACTACAGTTTGTTTTCAGCTTTTGAAAAAATGTGAAACTTCTCGAAATTCATCGTTTGCACTTACAGGACCAGAACATGTAACGAGATTGCAACGATATTTAAGCAAAGTGAAGTGAGATTTACAAAATACAAAAAGTGTCCATAAATCGAATTCTCATTACGTCAAAATCTCGTTACAGTGGATTTTTGTAATGTTGAATAGATCTGTGATTCGTAACTTTCGTGTTTTCACTACGTAATGCAATGATTTGATAACTCAAAAATGTAACTAGAAATTACAATAAGAGGTAGATATGTTGCTGTAAATTATCTCCTTAAATTATCCGATTGACTGCGACTTGCTCAATTTCGCGCTCAGCCCCTCTTGCACGCTCTCGATAATTTTAGAGCGCCGCCTCTGTTCGAGAGTTGTTCCACCATCATCTATACTTTATCCAGAAAGAAATGTCTAAAGGTGCGTACTCACCAAAAAAGCCAGCACAAGTTCGTAGTTGATCCACCTACTTTGTGCGAGCACCTTTTGATGTACTTCTTCTCGATCTTTTCTGAACGCGAACAAGCATACGTTTGCTCGCTCGCTAGCCCGTACTCACCAGACGATTATTGATACAGAATGCTCGTTCTCTCTTTAAAGTGCGTGAACGAGCATTCTGCATCAATAATAAATAATGAGCGAACACGAGCAAACATACACGAATGCTGTTATGGATCAACTACGATTACGAACTTGAAGATATTCGCTCTGGTGTGGACGAGATATCAATATGTCGAGCAAACACGAGCGAACATGAGCGAACACGAGCAAATATACACGAATGCTCGCTCATGCTCGCTCGTGCTCGCTTTTTTGGTGAACACGCACCTTAAGAGTGAAAGAATGTCAAGAATGCAATCATGCCGGTACATCAAAGAAAGCAACATAGTCGTCTCAAGCAAGTGGTACTGCAATTCATCTACAAAGTGACTGAGATATTTCTATCCGCTATGCCCCTTGAGGACGCCGCTAAAGATCCATTAAAATAAGGACTACCGGCAAATAACATCAAAAGAGGCTGGTGACAGTGTTTATAATATTGCGTTAAATATAGTATTAATAGGCGTCGGACTGGGGAGATTAATATAAATTTTCCAATGATAATATTCTGTATGGTATGAAGATAATTGAAATATCGTGAAAACTAATTTTGTTTAAATATTTTATTTTGAGAAGGACAATTTATATTTAAAATAGTTTTTTATTTAGGATTGTTGCCTTCTACAGATCTATAAAATAAGAAAATACAAATTTAGAAAGAGCAGAAAATTACAGCATTTGATAAATTTTGCTTTTTGAAAAAAAACTAATTTGTCGGTAACTTGAAATTTTGCATATAAAAATAAATATGTATCATCTGGTGACGTTTCAAATACTATCCATTTTCTTTATCCAACCTATTTGAATCAAAACATTATAATTTGTAGTTATAATTCGTCTTTTGATGTAAATCAATTTGATATTATTATTATTGACACTGATAATATCAAATTGATCATATGATTGAACATGAAGATGGATAAAGTCTTCGAAATGTCACCAGATAGGTATACAAATAGAATAAGTTTCCGCGGTTAGAAATTTGAACATCTGAATTTCGGGTTGAACCGCGCTCAAAGTTTTGCATTATTTGACGTTTCAGCATCGATTTTGAAGCCATTTTCAAGAAGTAGAAAGGTATGGCTGTACTGAAAGACATACTTTAGGGTTTTGATGGTCTGGTCTTGCCAAATCTTGAATAGTTTCTTCTCCACTCTACAATCTCCGATTTTTCTATTAACATGCTTTCTATCTTGTTTTCCAAAAGTTCAGCTCTTGTAATATCTTCCACAATCTAGTTCTTCTTATATCAGGAAAAAACTGTTTTCGCGAATAACTGACAAAACTTTATTTAATGTAGGTATTTCGTTTTTTTATGTAAAAAGAGTGTACTGTTCCTGGATACTGGATACAATGGATACTTTCTGCTCCAAAAAGCTGTTATTGTCCTTGAGTTCCCTAAGAATTCTAAAAATGTATTCAATTCGTTGGTAGTAAATGATTTTAATGCAGTACGCCTATGGCACTAGTATATATAGATATACTGCTGTAGTTTCTCTCATTTCTGGAGCCGCCGGTTAGCTTTTGGGGGCCCCTTGCAAAAATTCAGTTAGGAATAGTCACGATTAAACAAGTAACCGATCAGAAAGAATAGCACGCAAAGGCTGACTTTCGACCAAAAGAGGTAAGATGTCAATCTTGCTGAAGTGCCCATCAGTAAGTTGAGGACCGCTCGGAGAACGGGGGTGGATGGAGTGGAGTATTAAGTTTTCTTCGCAAATTAGTTGAGGGCGAAGTTTTTACTTCAGGGCACTCAACCCAGGAATGGGCATGGGGGGGGGTCTCTTTTCGCTGGTAAGGTTATAGCGATTACCATCGGGATGTATAAGCGTTGCCGAGACGTGGGAGAGTTCGGAGAGTCAGTAAAGGTAGTGTGAATTGAGCTAAGAAGGCGATACACATTTGAGCATTAGTCTGAAGTTTAGTTATAGTTTTCATAATGTACTGACTGTGTAGTTAAGTACAGTAGTAAAGTGGAGTTGAATTGTACAGTGTGATCCAAGGGGAAAAACGTTACAATATTCTACTACGAGACTATCGGCCAATTCACAATAGGTAATACAGGATCTGTCACATGGAATGATTTTTTAAAGAAAATTTCTAACTGATCCAAATTTCATGGACGATCAGTTCATAAACTGAACTTTATCAGTAGGTGTATTGACACTGAAATATTATAAAATACCTAAATAGATTTAGTAGAAATGCGATTTTTCATCCAGAGAAAAAACTTACCATTTTCACTTGCGGCAGAGACTACAAGAGTATTTAAATTAACAGAAAGTTGATTCATAAGTGGTCGATCACAAATGCCTCCTATAGATAATTGAAAATATTTTCTGTTTACGGGAACGGCAGAGTAACTTACTCCGATGATGTCATTTTTGAAAGTTTGTCCCGTGAATGCCACTCCCAAACATACTTCGCTCAATAAGTTGTATCTTGAGAACATTTTCAGGTAGTATTTCACTAAAAAATAATATATGTTGAAAAAAATTGTAATTTTATTTTCATATCATGCATATTGATAATTTCAAGAGATAACTAGAAGAATACTCATACCAACCAAATATGAGGCGAAACGCTGAACGCCATAAGGTCGTCCATATATTATAGTCGAAGTAAACGGTATTGTGTACGCTTAAAGTTTGCGGCACTCTCAAAGGTTAATAAAACCAATACATTGAAATGAACCGGCTGCAAACGAGTCCACGTGGACTGAAAAATTGGCGGTTCTTATTGAATAATTTTTACTAACCGAGTTTTATGATTGGCTAAAGAGTCATAAAATTAAATTTGAAGTAATGTTACGGTGACGAATAGAAATCGGGAATACGGGATGGTTACCGCCGTCGTGTTCAGTTCAGGAACTGATCGCGATTCGAGTGTTGAAATTCGATATTGGTGCAGTCCTTGGACAAGTAATAATTTTAATAACGAGTGTGATAACAACGCAGACTTTTTCCAGTGTAGTGATTCCAATAGCGATGGTGAACAATGCGAAAAAGAGATAACAATGAATAAGATTCGGATGCATTTGAATATTGAAACAGAGTTCTTCCACACATCACTATTACCTACTTCATTCACCACTCGCCTTATATTGTCAAGCACTACAGCATTCAAAGTCGGTGACTGATTACATTTTCGCAAGCTTTCTTTCATTGTGGCCCAAACCATTTCAATTGGATTGAACACACAATAGTATGGAGGCAAACATAAGAGAATATGACCACATGTTTCACACATCGAATCAATAATATACTCTTCTTTGAAATTACGTTGTTTTTTATGGTCGCCAGTAATACTTTTTTCGTTGGAATCTTTTCGGGTATTTCCATGTCATGATTTCGCATGAAATCAACAATATCTGCTTTTTTGTGTTATTGTTTGGTATTGTAGTCAATAACCGAGAATGGTACGAAGCGTTATCCATAACAATAACCGAGTTTGGAGGAAAATTTGGGAGAAGCTGATCATTTAACCAGGTTTCGAATAAAACCGTAGTCATATCTTCGTGGTAATCAGCAGACGAATCTTTTAAATTTTTGGCCGACAGAAACAAAGCGTTAGGTACGAAACCACTTTCATTCCCGGCATGCAAAATTATAACATGAAGAAGAAGGTGTGTTCAAAGCACAATTCTTGGTTTCGTCTACCCAGCCATATTTGACAACATCATGGATGTCAAACCAAGTTTCGTCGAGGTAGATTACATGTCTGCTGGATTCTCGGTAGCTTTTCATTCGCCTCAAATATTCTTGTCGGAGTTGAACAATGCGTGTCGATTCCATTATGACCATCCGATTGTTCAATTTTTTATATATGAAACCACAAGACAATAAGACACCTCGTACGGTTTCTAAAGATTTGTAATTGTAATCGGGATAGTCGAGTAATTTATACCAAATCTTTCCAAGGTTGGTACTTCATTTTTTTGGTATATACCATAAATAGTTCGCCGAATCACATATTTTGTAGCACCATCAACTTTTGCGAATTTTTTAATCCTTTGTTTTCCTTTCATTGCATGGTCAATGACATCCCCTATTTTAATGACTCGAAGAACTGTCGAACGAGATAGTTTCGTTAACTCGCATATTCTATTCACAATAGCATTCTGTGAAGTGTGACAGTTTTCCTTCTTCAAGCATTCATGAATATTTAAAATTACTTGCTGAACTTGAACATGTAAGACTATATTTTCAAATTCCGAATCCCTGTCAATTGACACAGATTCCTCACACGTACTGTTATCATTTGTTTCAAAAGGTCTCCAGAAAGCCATATTGATGAAAGTACCCAAGAACACTAAGATTTTCACAAAAATCGATTTAAAGGATGAGATTGGAACCTCTGGTGTAAAAGTTGAAAACTTTTTCTAGAGCTCAATTACCCTAACACCAAACTGATATTTTTGCACTCGACGCGCGTTTCGCTAACAAGGTTAGCATCTTCAGGAGAAGCAAATTGATACTGAATCTAAAGACAAGGGTTGGCTGTTTATATACCTAAAGTTTTGGTTCGATGTGGACTTTGTTTGTTGAATGATGATTATCGTAATTGATTTTTCGGTAATTAACTAGTGGAATCACTATATACCTGCCAATTAATTTGTCCGCTTTTTAATCTATTGTTGACAAATTAATTTGCAGGTTTGTAGGCAAATATTCTGAACCAATCTCCAATTCATTGGTCATTATCATTCGTAACACTCTAACCTTATATAAACATCATTGGATGCCAGTTATGAAAAAGAGTGTTTTTCGATCGAGAAGAGCTCCTTGGTTCAAGATCATCTAGAAAATAGAGAATTGCCCTTCACTATCACTAGAGAAGACTTCAGAACTGTTCTTCAACCAGACATGATAAGAAAATATGTTGACTCAGTCATTTAAAACTTGATGTTAGAACGGCTACATCAGAACCCATAATTCGAAAAATTCTAGCATGATTACGAATAGGTCAACGATCATCGAACATTCCCGTGCTTGAAATTATGGATGAGTGATTACTCGGTGTCGACATTATGGGACAGAACACCAAAAATAGCATTCCCTTGGAACAATTTGTCGCTGTTTTCAGTTCGAGAATCAAAGTAATGGTAGAAAAAGATATATACATTCCCAAAAACTTCAAAGATCACAATACAATAATTCACTGTAAGAGTTTCACTGAAAAGGGTTTTCAAATCCAACACTGTTTTCCGCTACCCAATAGTAATAGAGGAAGCTATTATATAGTGAAAAGACGAGAATCATACTCAGCCTCGGACATAATGCAACTGTGTTACAGGCAGAAGTAGCGGCCATCGAACACTGTGTAGGGGAAATAAACAGGCAGAAGGTCACAAATAAAACCATTGCCATTTTCTTCGACAGCCAAGCGGCAATTAAGGCGCTCAGCTCATTTCAAGTCTTCTCAAGACTGGTGGGAAACTGTCCGAGCGCACTCAAGAGGCTAAATACCCAAAATAGGGTCACTCTAGCTTGTGTACCCGGACATGAGGGTCACAAAGGCAATGAGGAGGCCGATGTTCTAGCCCATGAAGGCGCATCCAAGGCTATGATTGGCCCAGAATCCTTCTGCGGGTGGCATGCATAAACTCATGCCGAATCGATAGATTGGTGAAATAAGCTCCCAGGAATGAGGCAGGCGAAAGAGTTCATACGCTAGCTCCCCGACAACCCAATCATATTCTAATCTATATAGTGAAACACTTGTCGCCGATTTGAAATCCTCTACAAAAGACTGAATGACATTACCAACAAAACCCTGTATATTTAGGACGACTATTGATAAGTGAAATTCGATCCCAGAGAAGAAGAAGCAAATAGACTGCATCAGTTGAAAACGTTCTTTCATTCGGTCTCTTCAATATTCCAGTCACTTCGAAAGGTTGAGAGGCATTGAGAGGCCTCGCGTAAAAACTTACCTTGTCTCTGAATGCTGTGATCGAAAACAATAAATAATCATCTTAATAATCTTTAAAAAGTAGTATCTCAAGGTGAGAAATGTTCAGCTGAAGATGAACTTTCAGAAGTATGTAATATTCCACAAGTCATTAAATTTCCTTGGGCGTGTATTCTTGGTAGAATTGTAGAATAAAGACTGGTCTAGCAAAGACTGAAATAGTGAAAAAGTGGTTTTGATCAAGGAATGAGCACGAGGTCCAAATTTATGAAAAACTTCAGACAAATGGCCAAACTCCTCAACATGTTATAACAAAACAATACCGAATTATAGCATATCCACGAGCGTTGAGAATAACACTTCTTACTCGACTACGACTCATACAAATATCGAACTAGATTCGTCCTAGCCCAGGAACAAAAAAGGGAAAAAGGTAATATGACATTTCGATAAAACTTTCAGTGAAATCGAATGTAGTTACTATATTATGCATTACCAGGAAAGAATTTTCAGCCACGATGATATTCATACCATCAATACTTTCACACCTACTTTTTAAAGTATCATTCTAATGTGGAAACTACTCTTCAGGAAATCATAAACTTCTAAAAGTTGCAGAAACATGTGATAAAGTATTCAGAGAGACGTTTTGCCACACCGCTATGGTAGTCGTAGTGTATTATATTATTGGAAACTCTGCTAATATTATTTAATTATTTTCGACCCTTAAAAGACCATGCATTTAAGCCATGGTCGAATCTAGTCTCTGGATTCGGCATAAGCAACTTCCTCTGCGAAGATAGAAAGGTAAAAATTTTACCTGTTGACCAAGTCACCCAGTCATTCTCAATCCGTGTGATCAGTACGGATTTAAAACTTGTTCTGATCTGGTGGCAGCAACTCTCGCGCTACCGAACTAAATTTAAAAGTAATCTCTTCGACTGAACGATCCCACATACAGGGTGGTGTATTTTTCTTGTGGGAGTATAATTAATATATCATTAGTAGTATATATGGATCGATAATTCAGACTTGAAGGTCATTTATTACAGGGCTGTTCAGGACCTTTGTCAGGTAGTTTAACTTAGGAACAATAACAGGTAGTAGTTATGTAATACTAACTGGTGTAGTTAGGTACTACTAACAGGTAGTAGTTAGGCTACTAGCATATGAAAACACTAACGTAGTATATAGTGTTTTCATATGGTTAGCGAAACGCGCGTCAAGAGATCGTAATTTTTTGTATTGTTGTTGGGGAAGTGGCTTCAATAGATCTATGGTATGTTCGGGATAGACTGAGTTATGTCTATTCACTTTTCCGTTAGTCATTCAATGTAACAGAATCACTCCGAATTTAACTTGATGTACTATTACGAGAAAAATATCTAGTCAAATCAAGGCAATTTTATCTTGGTACCAGACTTTTCGGTGGGATGGGTACCTAAAAACGGATAAATGTGAAATGAAAACTATGAACGGGAAAGGTACTGTCTCTAACGGTTCAGTATTCAAAATTCTATTGATTGCAAACAAAAGTAATGCCCATTACCGGCAAGCTTCATTCAGTAAATAATTTTGATAATGAGCGATTAACATTGAATGTTATTTCATCAGCCTAAATCAGAAGTTCTCAAACTTATTTTGTCTACCGCCCATATATATTTTATATATTCCGTGCTATACTGCTGTTTCTTCTTTTTTGCTTCCGACATAATTTTGCCGACACCACTCACAGTATTCACCACCGCACGTACAACACTTTACTTAGCTAGTCGCTAACTAAATTCACTTGTTTTCATAATATCGTCGTATGACATTGCTGGCTGGATGGCGCGCGCGCTTTTTTATGAGGCAGCGGGCGGGCCTAGTACTTTCGAGAATGGATACTAGAAACTTCTCGCTTCGCATTGAAGCTTATCTATTGTATAGTTTGACAACTATCGGACAGGAAATAGTTACTGTCTAGTCACCTAGATGGCGTTACATGGGGAAACGCGCGTTAAAAAGGAGCGGTAAAGTTTGTGTTGAACGCAAAAAAAAACATTTTTAAATTAGCCATCGCCCCCCTAAACCGCTTCAACGCCCCCCAAACTTCTCTGTGCCCTTTACTGCCCTCCTATAGGCCCACAAGGGGGCGTTATCGCTCACTTTGAGAAAGACTAACCTAAATTATGAAAGAATAGAGACGATATGAAATCTGGTTGGTGGCACATCTATCGAAAAAGGTTTTCTTGATTCTGATGATTGGAAAAGTGTGTAAGAAAGAAACATGAAGAAACAATATTCTTACCGTCCATTGCTTTCTTGGAATACTTTGGTAACAAATTCATTGGGCTCTTTTCAGATTGTATTATTACTAAATATTTTATCAAGAGGCCAATATTATCGGGATACCCATCGTCGTCAAAGTCAGTTGAACGGAATAGCGAATTGGCCTCATCAATTGAGAATAACACGTACTTCACAGCTGAATCCATATTATCATTGTAGATTCGATGTAAAAATGAATTATCGATAACCACCAATAAGGTACAGACTTTACTGAAAAATGTACATCAGTTGTACTAAGAGTATGAATGAGTAATTCACTCACCCTTTTTGAATCATTGTCTTGAAAAGTTGGTATATATTATCTTCTGAGTTCCGTTTAACAGGAGAAATATTACCTCTGCTGTTGAAAAACTCGAACGCCTTCTTTGATGTTCCGTTCATTTCTGAATTCGTTTTGCTTTCAAAAACTACAGCATTTTTATTAGAATCATTATTCACGCGTTGCAGTAAGGGATAGCTTTTTAGGTTATCTACGTGAAAAATCTTGTCAAAACTCCTCACTTTACCGTAAAAATAAATAGACTCTATGTAACCCCCAACATAGCTTGAATTTGGTTCTGAAGTAATGTAACCTTCCACCAAATTTTTTTCCTGTTCAATATTCTGGTAACGTCCATTGCTATCAGTGTAGATTCGTAATTGAGTTTTGAAATTGAATACATCGGAATGTTTTGATTTCAAACAAATACTCTTATTGTCATCAATTTCAAGTTGAACTATTAAACATTCTGCTGAGTTAATGATATCCTTGTTGATTTCAGCTGCATTCTGATATCCCGATATTCTCGATGAAATTAATTTGAAGTCCTCAGTGTTTAAACTTTCAAATTCACTGGCTCTGTAATAACATTGAATCTTATAAAAAGTGAGGATGAGGGTGTAACAGGAACACAAAGTATGTTTCCGTTGTAACATATTCAACTTTCCAAGTTTTGACTATTCAAATGTCGGTTGAGATAAAATATTTGGATTTGTCACCAGACAGATTGACACCTATTTTTACTACGACTTCTCTGCCATTTCTATAGTGAAGTTTGATATCGACATTCGGTAGCCACTGGTGCAAAATCGTACAGAGTTTTTTTGTGACCGGATTACTACCAAAAAATTAAACGTATATCCTCTACTAGAGGCTCTTAGAAAGAGGCGTAAGTCAGCGAAATATTTTTATCCAAGGAGGATTTAAGGGAGGGTCTTAAGAGAAAAAAAATCATCAATTTCGCCAAATATCGACAAAAACGTGAATATACTATAGCAGATTGTGATAAATGGCGATATCCTTGATCCATTCGATTTTTTTTTGTAACTTTTATATTCAAGTTCGATTTTCAAATAATGGTTCCGAATAAGAAGTTATAGAAATAATAACATAGTTAAAACCAATGAAATTAATATATTCATAATAAATAATAGGTTTTTCATTCTCATTCCTACATTATAAAAGATTCATTATTTTCGTAGCTTCTCATTTAGAACCATCATTAATTGAAAATCGGGCTTGAATATGAAATTAAAATTTTGCGATTTCTAAGCAAATCTTTCAAATAACTTAAGTCCGCTGCACACGACGCTTGTTTTGCTGCTGGATTGGTTGCTGGGTTCACCGATGGCTGCTCGGCTGGCAGCGCTGCGAGTGCTACGAGTCAATGCTGGCTCTTTAACGTGGTCGCGTGCTGGATTTAGGTAATCGATTGTGTGCTATTTTTCGTGATGGCTCGCTTGCGTGTCTAGGGTTTTTCCGTGCTGCATTGAATTGCAAAGATGTCTGAAAAGTGGTCTTCGGAGCAAGTAAATGTTTTAATTGGCACATACAAATCATTTTCGAACTGAGGCTCTTAAGAGAATTAGCACCACAGTTTTGAGGTTAAGGCCGACAGTGACGGCAAAAAAATGTATCGAGCGTCCATGGTACTGTAGAGTTAGAAATACTCGTGTATTCAATGGCGACGTTGCTTTGCATGCACGCCTAGCGGCGAGTTGTGGCAAGCACCATATGAAGCCAACCTATCGAGAGAGCCATCATTGCACCCAGCGCCACAGCCAACTTTGAACCCAGCAGCAAATTCTAGCATGCTCTCCAGCAGCAAAACAAGCGTCATGTGCAGAGGACGTTATTTCTGTATCTCCATCGCGAAGCAAAATATCGAGAATTTGTCCTTTTCGCGGGATCACAGTGGGCTGGGTTTAAGGCTGTCACTCAGGCTAAGTATTGCGAAAAATGCAGCCCATGAAGGTATATGCCTATACCAAAAATCAAATATCTGCTTTCAAAAAAATTCAGGGGTGTCGTCATCTCAAGTGTGAACCGGTTTCGAGGTATTACCTGTCATCAGTGCAGGAAAGATCTAACCCAAACAGTAAAATAACGAACGGTTTCGAGGCATTACCTCTCATCAGTACAGGAAAGTTCCGATAAAAACGACAAAGTGCCTGGGACTGCATATATGAAACCTTCGTTTATCCATGCAAGCAACAGAGTGCTCTAAAACATTATCATGCATAGTGCACGTGATCTTCCAAGCATGGCTGCTTGTATATACAGAGTCGCACTAAGAAATCACCGAATTATTTTTTTTAAAATGAAGCTGAGTATAGGAATTTTTTCAGGTGGAATGTAATGACACAAATTAGTAGTTTTTTCAGCCGTATCAGTACTTGACATTTTACAATTTTTAAACTTTAAAATTTCGTATATGTACACACCACAAGCATTAACACGTAAGTCACCACTCCGACCATGTAGCGAAATACTTGAATGAATTACCCAGCTGATGGCAGTTGAATTAGACTAGCGAGCGTAAGGAGGCTTGTTTATTTTACCCAATAGATTCAAATATGTGCGGTGATCACGCATCCATCATTGTTTGGGTTACTTTGTTTGATGGACATAGTTTATTAACAGCTCTATTTCGTGAACAAGGCCCCAAGCGGGGAAGATCTCTGTTAGAGTATTGTCCTCTCTTTTGTCACTGTTGACCAAATATACGTTTTTATTAATTTCAGCTTTGGAAAAATTCTGAAAGCATTGAACAACAATATTGTTTTCGCAATTGTAGTTCAAAAAATGATTTGAGGTTTAGATTTATTTGGGTTTCTTTTTGCGATTGTTTGTATTTCACAGAAAAAAAAGGGCACGTTTCATTTGATGTTCCTTGAATAATTGTTGGACAGTGGATTGATCATTTGACGTATTTGACGTTGTACTACAGTTTCAAATGAAGTAGATATTTGCAAAGCCTACCATTCACCACATCGATTTTTTTCTGGAAATGTTTTGGTTTTGAGTAGGTACCCGTTCTTGGGTTGCTGCGAAATCGAACTCCTCAACTGAATTTAGGTTGATTTTCACAAATTGTTATGTGGACTTATATAAGTAAAAATAGTTTTTTCACTGCTTACAAAATTAAGGGCTCTTATGGTTGCCTGATTCGCCTGGTATGGGTTGACCGGCCCTGACACGACCTCATGGCGATTACGAAAATTTTTGTTATCACACTCTGAATTCAGGAGGGGTTGTTCATAGTCAGGAAAGCATAAGAGTTCGAAGGGACGTTTAATATAGACCAAAGAATCTCGATTATTTGGGTCATCATAGATAACATTACACAAATTGAAAAAGGCGTAGATGGTATGAGAACTGAAATTTGAAAAATCTTGAATTTTCCTAAATAGGCAAGTTAAATTCGGAAGAAAGTTACTAAAATGTATCAGCTAGCATAAGGTCCAAAATCTTCATTTTTAAAAAAGCTTCATAATTCTTCAGGCATTGCGATAATCAATATTTTGATGAAAAAACAACCAAACTCGAAAGTATTACGAACAATATTGATAAAATCTTTTACTGAATTCCAATAGATTGATATCCGTAGAGATAGAATTTATTGGAGAAAAAATGGAATATATTCAAGAAAGCATTGCTTTCATTCTTAAGCTGAAGAGAAAAAAGGAAGTCGGAAATTCTATCAAATACATTGTGGTTATTGCATATATTTATATATTTGGGACACTCAAGTTGTCAAATATATGCCAATTGAAAAGATCACAAAGAGAACACACTCATTCATTATGAGGTGTTATTAATACATAAATCAAATCAAATATTACTCATTCACAACAGTTTTGGCGACGAGGTGAATTGGAAAGATTATAAAAATCAAAAATAATCGAAAACAAAAACATTCAAACTGGATGCCCAACAGTTCAAAGAATTTATGGAATTTCAAACTGCAATAATATCTACTCTCTTTTCTCAATTACAAAGTTCACAAAGTCAGACAAACCGTGAATCATCAAGCAAGGGAGATACCGCACTTTTAGCTAACTTCGAAAATTTTGACAAGAAAGAATCGTTTTCAAATTACAAAAGCAGGTTCCAGAATTACCTTTAAATGAAGCAGATCAATACAAATAAGCCTTATTGTGCTCAATTGCTACTAAATTATATTGGACCTCAAAATTTCAACATGATTATACAGCTTTGGCTGCTCCTAAAGCTCCTGATTAGTTGACATATGATGAATTAATAAAGATATTGGAAGAACATCTTGCACCAAAGAAGAACATTTTAGTTGCTCAACATCACTTCATTAGTTGCAAAAAAGACAAAATATAAATCGATTAATCGCACGACAATATGGTGTACAACATATTGTTGATATATTCATCAAAATCATAATAGTTCTGACTCTGACACTGATATGAGTCGTTATTAAGCCCACGTCAAGATAGAAAGAAAACCAATCAAATTCGAAGTAGATTCGGGATCAGCTTATACGTTTCTTCAACGTCAACAATTACAAGATTCAAATCTGAATATTCCTCTTGAACCAGCAACCATCGGATTCCGCTCATATACTCGAGATGTTTTCATACCTGATGGGAAGATTGTAGTTAACGTTTCTTATGGTAACATCAAAATAAAAGAAGATGTTTATTTTGTGTCAGATAATTACGCTGCTATTCTTGGTAGAGTTTGGATCCGACGCCTCAAGATAGATTATTTCAATCAACTAAGTCAACAAAACACTTCAGTACCCTCTGAAAGAATCAAGCTGTGGAGTGTAGAGGAACTAAGCGCGAAATATCCAAATGTTTTCGAAGAGAAAATTGGATGTGTTTCAGGTTTCAATGTTGTTCTCAAATTACGTGAAGGTGTACAGCCATGTTTTCATCGTGAACGTGAAATTCTCTACGCAATCAGCACATTGGTTGAAAAAGAGTTGGATGCACTTGAAACTGCAGGAATAACGAAAATAACGATATCTGACTGGAGATCACCATTAGTCGTAAGACCGAATTTTATTTTGATGACATAGTGGTTCTTGGAAATAGTAGCAGAAATTAATTTCATTTGGTAGATAGAGCAACCGATAGACCGGTTTCGGGGTACTTGCCCCTCATCAGTACCGGGCATGGTCTCTTCAGAATGGTGTGAACCGTCTGAGTATCACGATTTCGCAGTAAATTTATGCCTGAGAAATGAGAGTAAAATAGCCTCTTTTTTTTCATTACTTACTCTAAACCTGTTGAATTTGACATTTTTTTCGAAAATCCTCAAAAAATCTGATTTTTTTTGGAAACTTCGAAAAATTCCAAACAAAAAAGATGCTTATTTTCCAATTTTTCTCCAAGTTTGAACTTCTAGTGTCTTCGAGTTTTTACCAATTTTTTCAATTTTTCGAATCTTTCGTTTTATCGATTTCAACGAAAATTCCATAACTTTGATGTCATATATTGCGACACATTGCCGACCCACATTGACCTATTATCAGAAAAAAATGCACCTCCAGAAATTCGTCTTTGTTGTTGCAAATTTTATCTAATTTTTTTCATTTCATTGTGAAACTGATGCCTTCGTATTCGCCTACTGGTGCTGTAAGTACCGTTAGTATTACTAATGTATTATATTCTATTCTCCTTTCATCACTAAATCATTAATAGAGGATTGTGATGCCGTGGTGTTTAGATGTGTGTGTCAAAGTATCCATGTAAAAGTGCTGTTCGCTACAGGCGATTTACTGTATTCGGCTCTCTATAAAGAAAGCTCCCACGATCCAGAGTTTTATTGCTCCACGTTGCACCTACTACTTGCTACCATATCACATAGAAATAAAAACCATTCATTCATATTTTATGTTCTATGTACTGTAAAGGTAGAAGTCTTAGAAAAAGTAGAAACTAGAAATTGTCGCCGGTTTGTCAAATTTGGACAACTAATTATGAGATTGTTGGCGATTTGTATTTTTTTACATACTCTTATTTCGTCAGAGTCTAGTTTAGAAGTAGTCCAAGATGAAGAGTTGATGAACCTAATAAGGACGGAAAAACATGTCATAGTATTATTTTCTAGGAAATACTGTGAGTTGTGTGATAAGTATGAAGGAGAATTAGCCTCGTTGAGAGAAGACTTGGTGGAGACACTCAATGCTTGGGTTGTGAAAGTAGAAGAGAGCCAAATGACAAGACTATACAGTCCTAATAAAGAGCCAGTGTTAGTATTTTTTCGACATGGTATTCCTCTGCTGTATGAAGGGCCATTGAATGACGAATTAATTTTACACACATTCACAGCAAACAAAGAACCTGTCACTAAAGAATTAACTGATGAAACGTTCGAGCACCTCACCCAAGCGGCTACAGGTGCTACAACTGGAGACTGGTTTGTTATGTTTTATACACCTCAGTGTGTAGATTGTGCCCGTTTGCAAGCTAGATGGGAGGCAGTAGGAGCTGAACTGAAGTCGAAGCTCAATGTTGCCCGTGTCAATAAAGCCACTACAGGAGCAGCTACAGCAAGACGTTTTGAAGTTATCAACGTTCCATCTTTCATACTTTTTCGTCAAGGCAAATTGTATCATTATCAAATTCAAAAGTTTGATGTCCGTTCTTTTGTGGATTTCGCGCAAAGCTGGTACAAAAACGTTCATCCAGAAAAGGTGCCGCTACCAAAATCACCTTTTGATGACTTTGTTGCTCTTGTTGTAGATTATATGCGAGAGTTTCCCTGGTTATGGCAACTTGGATTCATAACATTTGTGGCTGGTCTGATTGGTGCAGTAGTTGCTAGATTTATGTGGGGAACAGTACCAGAAAAGAAAAAAACGAATAAGGAAAAAAAAGAAAAAAGTAAAAATAAGTAGAACAGTACCTATTGTCATTTGTTGATGATTATGTGTGGTTTATATATTTTTAAAGAAAATACAGATATTTGTAGTTTTTTTTATCTGTGAACCTGTATTTTTTAGACATAATTTGAGATATAAAGACTACTGTCGTAAAAAAATTCAAAATATGATAGTAACAACTCCGAAATTACTGTTAATGTATGAACATATTTCTTTTGAGAACATTTTGTTATTTTCATGGTGGGACTTGACTTCTCTTATCATTTAAATTAGCCATTAGATTCAATTAACTAACGATGTTTAATTGACTCAGTTTAGTGTACAATTCTTCGAATATAACTGGAGTTTTTTTCACAACACCAACCAGTTATTTTAACACCTCGACATGTGTTTCGATCACCAAATGATCATCTTCAAGAGGAAGATCAAACTATTCATGATTAGTTTGATCTTCTGCTTGAAGATGATCACTTGTTTCTCGGAAATTACGACTTTGGATCTCGAAATTTCGACTTTAAACTTGAAAATTCGGCTTTAATATTGTAATTTCGAAATTACGACTTTAATTATTTATTAATCTAACCTATTAATCGAAGTCGAATTTAAAATTACGACGTAATCTTGAATTTCGACTTTAATCACGAACATTCGACTTTAAACTCGAAATTACGAGATTTGAGTCGAAATTTCCATGGAAAATATAAAAAAAAAACGTGCACTTCCGTACATTTTTACCTTCAAACATCTCTTCTCAAAAATTTTGAAGATTTCAAATGTGAACATTGCCCTCACAGACTACAGAAACAAGTTGTTTACAATCAGTATTCTGTGGTACCTACCTAACTCGGTATACGTTAAAATTATGCTATTTAAACAAGTGTTTTCAGGAGATAATTAGTTTTGAAGAATCCATCGTGGGAGAAACAGTAGAAAATTCAGCAATATTTAAGGCACTTGAAATTAAAATTGAAACAATGCTTGAACAGGACAAGCGATGTGTGATATCTATAGATGAGATAACTTTAAAATCCATTCTTTTTTTTTTGATACAGGATGTGATGAAATTATTAGTTTCGAAGATATTGGAGAGGCAAATAAGAGGAATTCTATGTATATGTAGAAATGTTCTCGTTATTATGGCTAGAGGACTTTATTCTCCCTGGAAACAACCGATTCCTTTTTTTTTTCATTGAATCACAGCTACTAGCAAACAATCTACGTGATATTTTGGATAAGAGCATTTCTAAATTATCCAATATAGGTCGGCATGTTGATGGCATTTTGAGTGACATGGGCTGTAACTTTTATGAATTGTCAATGTTATTAGGGGTCACTTTAGAAGAATCTGAATTTGAGCTCGGTGGTAAAAAATTTGTTTATATTTTTGATCCAAATCATTTGATAAAAGCCACTAGAAACAATTTTTTAAAACATTCATTTCATTTTGAAGGCAAAAAAGTACATCTTTACTTCTTTACGACATTCCTATAAATACAAAAATGTTTTAGAAGGTTCTAAATTTCAATTAGATTTTTTTGAAGAGGCTCTAACGTTTTTGAAAAATCTTGAAATTTTCAATTCATAGGACAAAAATGTCACAAATCGAGTCAGATTTAGAAAATGTTGGATTATTTCCAGGAATACTGTAATTTAAATATGGAATGATCTTTCCAAATCAAATTATAAATATTTAAAAACGAGACGACTCAATTCAGATTGTCTTGAAAAATTTTTTGGTGCTGTAAGACAACAATGCGGAAAGTTGTTTTGCCAAAATTATTTTCATTCCAATCATATGAATTGTAAGAATGATTTAGATGATTTATTAATCAGTATACAATCCACAAACGTAAATGATATATTTATATCAGATGAGCATCACTTTTCTCCAGCCCTTGCCCTTCCGGATTATGATTATAAAAATGAAGATGTATGTGCTCAGAATTCATTCATTTTCGTTTGTGGATACATTTTAAAAAAATCTCTTCAAGTTCATACATGTTATGTGTGTCACTCTTTCAGCACGAAGTGCAGGACTTTGGATATAAATCGTCTGTTAAGCTATTTTAAAACTTATACTACGAAAAAAACATGTTTGGAAATTTGCGCTCACCACCAAATGAATTCATCAATTTTATATATCAGTTGGAATGTTTATTTAACAATCGATTTACAGAAATTTCTACTGGGGGAACAGTTTCGAATATATTATTCAACCTAATGAAGGATGTAGATTTTCTTCATCCTTGTGAAAATTTTACAAAAATGTATATAATTAAGCTATTCATAAGAATGAACATTGTTTATAGTATCAAATATACTAATAGAGATATCAATAATACCAAAGGTAAAACTGTAAAAAGGAAACTTAAGATTCTGTCACATTTTTAAATTAAGAGGTTTTGGTAAAATATCTTGTTTAATTATTTTTCATTCGGAACCTTACTCAATTAGAACCCTCAGATTGTATTGATTTTGTTATTGAAAGTTTAAGTTAAGATTACATAAAATAACAAAAGTCACTTCTATTCATCCTTAGTGGACTTATTTATTTCAGAGGATATAAAATGATTATATAATATAAGCATTATTCTATTATTGTAACTTTATTTTAATTTTCTATCTAATGAATTGGATTTACAAAATAAAGTTATTTAATTTATTTCTTAAAAGCCAATTCATCATAAATAATAATAAATTAGCAACATAGTTGAATATTCTTTATTATTACTGCGAAAGTTGTTCAATTAGCAATATTAAAATTAAATGGAGTAAGATTCCCTTCACAATATAATTTTATATTTCACAGTGAGCCCACGTACTAAACTAGAACGTAAAAGTATGTATTTTTATTAGTGTACATCGCTGAGAGGTCATTTTTCTCAGTGAACCAGGTTGTTTATCACTCAAAATCTTCGGTTCGGAGTTGGGATACCGATCATCAAAGGATCCGACGTTAATGTCGCTTCTCTGTGGTAGGTATTCTCGGACAGAACAATTAACATCAAAAGGCACTCTCAAATGTCTATAATATGCCGGGGAATGCTATGATCTGGGATGAGCTTTCGTTTCAGAAATTGTTGTAGACCGCTGCCGCAAGATGGTACCAATATTTTTCTATTTATTTCAGTTATCAAATTTGATCCTTGATAAATGATGTTACCAACATCAATATTTTTTCTCAGAAAAAAAATAGTACGGTTATTACAAATGAACTGCGGAACTTGACGTTCATTATTGATATATGAGGATTATATAATATTTGAAAAACTATCTTTACTGATACATTCTGTTGTTCACTACTTGGAGTACTGAGTGAAATGAGGCAATATGGCATTTTATCTGAGTGTTCTAAAAATGATGATCCAGGTATAATTTTGTATAAGGTACCTGACAATGGCGGATTTACGCTTGATGCCGCCCTAGGCCCTGTTTATCGCGCCGCCCTTAATGTTAGAATAAATTTAATTGATTTTGATTCAATATTATTATTTTCAATTTAAAATAAGTTTATTTCTTTAGAATATAATTTTTGATTATAACTAACAAACATTACAGATACATAAGTAATAATGATTACACAATATTTTTTTATATTAATATAATTTTCAAATTCTCGATGAGGAATATCGAAAGACTTCTTTTCGATTTCAAATGAAAACTTGAAATTATTTTTTTTTAGTTTGAGGATGCAAAAAAATTAAATATGAGAAAAATAGGATATTTTTTCATGAAAAATTATTTTTATTAATGAAGAATGTTCTGACGTTTGAATAAATACCGAAATGATATTTAATACATGCATACCTACCTATAGTATTTTTTTTCAACGCTGGACACAAATTGCCAAATTATTCAGACACTTTATAAGTGTATTATTAATTTCAGTAATGGAACAACAAGTAAAGTAGATCATTCGATAAGGACTACAATTGATCTATTAAAAAATAAACATCTCTATGAATGATCATTCATAGATTGAAAAGTAAAGTAAAATTGAATTATTGCATATTATATAAAAAAAATTTCTTGAAAATTAATTTGAACTCATTGTCAAAGGACACTATCTTTACTTTTTTTGTCTCTAAAATTTTGGTAATTCAAAAATGTTGCCGCCCCTCAAATCATACCGCCCTAGGCCCGGACCTCACGTGCTTAGGCGTAAATCCATCACTGAGTAAGGACAATTTGTAAAATATTCAAAAAACAAAAGAAACTGAAAATAGACGTGAAAGAAAAATATGTATTTCAGTATTGATAAAAGGGTAATTTGAGTTTGTAGATCAAAATGTAAGATTTCTCAAAAAATTTAAGGTAATTCCTGTCTCACTATTGGCCGATTTTGACAGGTAATTTTGTTCCCACTAATAAGTATTAGTATTTCCAAATTGAGTAGTCGGTCATGCCCAAAGCAGAGAAAGCGAATAGCTTCAGACAGAACTGACAAATCTGGAATAGACTAATGCGAAAAAACTTACCTAGTATCACGAGAAAGGGCCCAATAACATAAAAATTACTTGTGAAATATTTTTATTTCTATCCAAAAGCCTTACAGTAACGCCAAGGGCGGAAATAATGGGGAGCCTCACAAAAGAAGATCCTTCAAATATTCAATAGTTTTTTGTATAGGAACACTGTGAAACAACGACAATACATCAAATGATACTGAAATCTTTCCATCTCGCAACTTTACGTCTTCAAATTCATTCATGAACTCAACTGAATTCAAAGCAAGTAGACAAACTTACGGCGCGGCGGAGGCAAATGGTCGCACTGACTTGCCAGATTTGTAAATTTTTGGTAATCCGTATATTTTAGAAACCAGTAGACTCCTGTTCAAAGTCGGTGCAATCAAATTTTGACTTTTTTTGAGTGTGTCTCTCACTTCTGAAACCATCTTAGGCAATGGGTTTCATGGTAATTTATTATAGGGACCGGTTTCAATTGAACTATCAATTTTCTAATCGCAAGCGGAAATCGCAAAAAAACTAAAAAAATTTCAACTTTTTTACGATAAACACGACGCCATTTTAAATCGCACTTTTTATGCGGTGTTCGTTCCAACATGAACTAGCCCTAACAACTGAAAAAATGGAGATATCCACATTTTGGCATTACGTCACTGATACACTTAAACGTCAAATTCAACGTCAGGAAGTTTTACGTGTTACATATTTTTATTACGAAAATTTCAATTCCTTGTTACAGCGGTCCTGAATAAATCGTCAATATTTTTTTTTTGGCGATTTCAATTCATTATTGTCTAAAATGGGTACATAATGATGACTCAGTGATGTCATATATGTAAATGATAACAACAACCTACTGAACACTGGCAACACTGTTAGTACTGTTTGAATATTTTCTTTGAAAATATATGTAATGTCGTTATGATATAGATTTCATATTTCATTGTTGAGTAAACGTTATTGTAATAAGTAATGGGTATGAAAAATACCTTAAATTTGTGTTACTTTCCATAAAATAGTATTTGATTTCAGATGAGTCTGCAGAATACGTGAATTATTGTTTAATAAATAATTTAATTCTACTCAGGAAGGAAGTTCCAAGTAAAATAACTGACATCTATCGCCGTATGACAGTACACTTATTGAAAAACCTGAAAAGTGTAAATGTTCAGTTGGAAAACGAGGAACTACATTGTGAAATTCCTGACAATTTATTGAAAGAAATGAACACTGCATACTATGTAAGTCATTAAAATTGCAACCAGGTATGATGTATATCATACAGGTATGATGTATATCATACCTGTTTGCAATCCGAGGTTTCGGGTAAATTTTGCACCATCTTTATTCCAAAACTTAATTGACCAACTTCTAGCAGATATTGACAAAACAGTGTGCTATTTGGATGATATTTTGATAACTGCACCCAATAAGGATTTACATAGGGTACGACTAAGACAAGTTTTAGAAAGAGTACAGTTAGAAGGAGTTTGCACACAACAATCGAAGTGTAGATGGTTACAAATCTGTGTAACATTTTTGGGTTACAGAATTGATGCAGAAGGATTACATCCTAAATCAGAAAGCAATGAAGTTATAAGTGTATACCAAGTCCTACAAATATAAGTGAACTCAGATCTTTCTTGGGATCGATAACTTATGGACGTTTTATACCAAAATTTACATGTTATTTGCGTTCCATTATACAGACATTTGAAAAACAACTCAACATGCAAGTAGACAGTTGATGAAAAATTATTCCATGAATTAAAGTATATCCTTATTTCATCAGATACTTTGGTACATTTCAATTATGAATTGCCAGTAGTAGTCACAAGTGTTGCGAGTTTGAAGGGTATTGGGTTAGTCTTATTCCACAAATTCCCTAACTCCTGATATTCTACTATAGATTAGGAAGCTTTAGGAATCGTGTTTGAAGTTACAAAATTCCACCATTATCTATATGGAAGACAGTTTACACTATAAACAGATCACAAGCCTCACAAGGATTGTTGTGGTTCCGCTAAAGCAATAAATAACAGACCTTGAAACGTAACAATTTTTGTCAATAGTTCAAATCGTGGGGCACCCACTTTTCGAGCCCTTTGACCCTTCCAATACGTTTTTGCCCATCACAAACTGCATGGGAGCTGGCGCCCGATTCTTTCGTCAACCCATGCTAGTTTGTGGAACAGCAATGTATAGAGTTCAAAATTCTCTATTGATCAGTATATACTGTGACAGAGAAGAATAAATTTTTATTAAGATATGAAGCTACAAAAACACATGACATTAAAACGGACAAAACTTTTTAAGCAGCCTAATAATAATTGAAAGTATCAGTTCTCACTTCTAAAATATATTCGAACATCAACAGTTATTTTATTTTTTTCAGGATGCCCAACTATATGAACAAAGCCGCATGCTTAATACTCTCATGAAGATGAAGAACAACCCAACTTCAAAAATAATTGATGAAATCTGAGGAAATGAGTTTTAAACATTCAAGAGTTGTTCAAAATTGACCGACCTCTCCTCCATCAGAAGATTGGTGTCCAGTTTGAATATTATTGAACTATCTGATATATTTACCATCTCAGTCATAAATCATCAATATTGTGAATTGTCTTATTTATATTGACTTGAAATGAGAATGTTACTAGTTTTTCTTTCATATCACTTGAAAATTACTTAAAACTGTCAAATATACAAAATTAGCTGTTTTCCTCATTTTCTATTAGTTATAATTTTTTTGAAGACCCAGAAGATGGCCTGCCATTTATGGCTTTTTCATTAATTGAAATCAAGCAACTATTGAAACAGAAAGAAAACTGAAAGGAACAACTTATATATTCTTGAATGTCTATCTGAAATTCATTCAAAGAATATTTCTGGATATTCAGTAATTTCCTTTCATATTTTAAAAAGTTTTTTCGGTTTTGGCATGCCAAAAAAACTCTTTTGAGAACCTTCACAAATAACATTTAGATAATAGTCCTGTCACACAGTAGTTTTAATTTTCATTGTCGGTAGAGAACGAACTTTGTTTTCATATTCTTTTTTTGATTCAATAAATATGTTCAATGCAAGAACAGATCACTAATCTTAAAAGATTGGCACATGACACTGTCTACTATTCACACAACTATTCTATGTTGTGTTGCCGTGAAGAAATCTGTTTTTGTGTGCAGTAACAAATTAGGATGAGGATTGAAAGTTTAAATTATTATATCGATAATCTCAATTAATAATGTACTGGGTTTGAACTTTTTTGTATTTTGCATACATGTAAGAAACCTACCTAATTTGTGAACAATAAAAACATTTAACGGTGTGTAAGTCAATATTTTGTGTTTTTCAAAATCTGACAAATCTTTTTATCAATTTTCAATTATTTCTTTATTAATGTTGTGGATTATTTAACTCCTGAAAGATAAACCAACAGTTTTCAAATTATGACTAACCGCTCTAACAAATTTTCAAACCCCAAAATAAAGTAATGAAGAAACTTATGTTTGTCAAAAATAAAAACACTCGTGCTAATTCCATATTTTTGAATTATTTTTAATTCATGGCATAAAATAAATCCTACAAAAACACTTTTGTTTCCTTATGAAGCCAAAACAGTTCTGGAGTGACGAAAGTGTTGATAGATTTTTCTAACTCCCTTCATGGAAAATAAGTGTGGAAGTTAAATTATTTATGGTAATATCCTTAAAGGTATAGTAAATAGTTGAATTAAAGAATCTGTGATTTCTACATCACAATCAAATACCAAATTGAACCATTCTCTAGAGTTTTTTGAAAAACATAAATTTTATAATGAAAAATGATCTACAATTGATAAATTCTATTTTGAAATTGAGTCTGAAATTATATAACATATTTGAAAATACCACTCAACATTCTTGAATAAACTTTCTCGTAAAACTATACACCACAGTCAACATTCCCAATCGTGGTAGTGTCTCCTGAAAAAAAAAGTAATTAAAGTATAATCAATGAAGCTGAATAAACACCTCAAATCAATCAGAAAACTAAAGAAAATCACTTGGAAGGACCATTGACAACTGAAGACATCATAAGAAGCTTAATCTCTCATAAATATTTTTTCAGTAATGAATACATATGACAATGGTCTATTTAACAATGCAAATAAAACTAGAGCTTGGTGAACTAACAAATTATGTGCTACAGTGTGCTGGAATAGATTTGGTTCCACTTGTTTCAAATATTTCAAAAGCATGCAAGAACTTAGTTGAATTATCTAAATACACATTCACAACTGAAGTTTTCTATCAATAGTAACTCTTTGATAAATGTTTGGCATACAAATAGAGGTAGGAAATATTGCTGGAAATATTTAGAAAAGTGATAGTGAATGTCCGTATAGGACATTTTCAAACAAAAGTTTATTGAATAAGTTTGAAAATATCCGTATAGGACAAAACTGCAGTAACGTTAGTTACAAATAAAAGGGGTAAAAAACATAGAAATTTCCATTATTTTTTCTTCATTATGATTTCCTACCACGTAGTAACGGCTACATCCATCAATCAAATATTTTTGATGAGCTGAGGTTCTGCGATAATTTTAGTTGTCATAATTTCAGAAAATTCAATTCTTCTGTAGGGGTCATCGTCACCAAGTTTTTGAAGGATTTGCATTTTTATATGGATGAAATTTATGTAATTCTAGTACTTTTCTTATAGATTCGTGGGATAATACGGTTACTGTAGCTGCCTGACGAATCAATAAAGTATGATTCATTGCAAACAGTCCAAGTACTTTAATTTGCTTTGTTTCGTCCAGTAATATTGGTTAATCTTTTTTTTATTTGTGACAGTATAAGTTCTTCAAATTTTGCTACTAGTTGGCGAATGTACACGTAACTTTCATTTCTCTCCGGGTGTCCCTGGTTAAATACTTTTAGTTATTGTTAACAAATACTGATCTTCTCTACCTTAAATAAAAATCATTTCCTAACGTTCAGCTGTGTTGTACGCCATTATTGTCGATAAAAAGTCTGTTTCTCGTGTACAAAGTATCAAAATAAAAATCAATTGTATTAATAATAAGAGTAGCATTTCCCGCCTTGAAGTAAAAAATGTGACACAAAAATACCTCTCAAAAACGAATATTTCAACACCCCTTTTTTGTTACATTTACTCATCAACTGAGTCAAATTTTTTCAGGTACAAATAAACAAAAATAATACAGGTGTAAAATGTTTATAAGAGTCTTAATATTAATGCTTCGATGGTTATAAGTTATAAATATGATTTTAAACATTTCTTACATTAATAATAGAAAATAAAATTTCAATTGAAATAAATAGTGTTTTATTCAACAAAACAAAATTTACAACATCAAAGGGTGTTATAGATTGAACTAAAAATTGGCTTCAATCAACAAAATACAACATGACAATACTATGCCAGATAGTGACAACTGTTATTTCTAGAATAAGTATAGATACAGGATGGAATAAATATATATGATTTTCATTACGCCATTTAAGAATATAAAGTTGAGGTGGCTGGGGGCGAGGTGGTAAGTGAAAACAAGTTAGCTATCACATCATTTTGTTTCCCTCTCCCTATTATGGAAGTTATTTTCAGCGATTTCTTATATTTTATTCGGTTGCTCAGATATAGTCATTGCAACTTTTCAAATTGTCACCTGATATGTATGTATACATTTAAGCTTCTCAACAGAAAAATAAGTATATCTGAACTTACCACGAATAAGGGAATCAAGAGTTCTTTGGTATTTTCATCACTGCTCAAAAGAGTGAGCATAAAAACAACTTTATTCTAAAAGAGAGCAACTTGAACAATCTGCAATTCTACAGTAAAATAATAACTTACTTTAAGAATGACTTCATTGATGAAAATATTTTGTACTTTTTCTTGAGGAATGAAAAGCGTTCTCGAACCAACAATATACTTAGTTTTAATGTGGATTCCTAAGCCTTTAATAATGACTAGATTTTCTAGAAAGAAAAAATGTTGTTATGAATGCAAACAATTATGACTCAGAATGAACTCACCTTCCATGGCTGTAATGCATATTCTGTAGCATAATAAAAATATACATAAAACTACAATAATATTGAGGGGCTCAGCAGATAGACCTAAAAATACTATATCCAGTCCAAGGAATAGTCCTAATGCTGTACACTCTTTATATAGGGCTTTGGTTGAATTTAAAACTACGACTTTCAATGATATAGGTTTGTAGTCAATATACAGTTTCAAATGATGGCCGTTTATGTTTTTGAAATTTGAATATTTTTCCTTCTTTTTGATTTTAACCATGACTGATTCATGATTTTTCAATTTGTTAACAAGATTGTTTATTTATATGTTAATATGGAAAAGATAGGTTAAGAAAAGTTAGGTCACAGAATAATACACTATCAGAAGGGACATTTGAAAGCGGTAACTTCGATCCAGTAACGTCATAATATGGACTGTCCTTTGACGAGAGAACATTAACAACAACTAAAAAAGGATGAAGATATTTAGATATGGTGTGTCACATAATTTTTTGTTGTCCAACAAAAAGTAATGTTTTTTCTGAGGAAATATTCAAACAATTAGCAGTGTGAAGTTGGGTGCTAACGTAAGCTGCCAAAATTTCCGAATACTTTCGAACGATCAGTGGCGTACGTAGCAAAACTTACCTATGTGAAGTTGGCTGCCAGACCCAGCTGCTAAATTTTCCGAACTCTACCGAACGACCAGTGGCGTGTATCCGTACTTTCAGCGAAATTAATAGTGTCGTATAGGAATATATAAAAACTCATAATTGATATTTGTTGCAGAAAATCGACTTGTACAGTAATTGAAATATAAAACTGCTTCATTATGCATGGAATTGTGGAATAACTTTGTTATCATAGTGACCCAATGTAACCCTCCCGTGAAAATAATTCCTTGCTCACGACGCGTTTGGGTCTTACACTGCGAAAAACAATTTTTTTTGATAACTTTTGCAAACGACTGCTCGGACGAAATTTAGTAGAAAGTGTTTATAGTGACCCAGTCTAACCCTCCACGTGAAAATTATTCCTTGTGAAATTATTCTACTGGGTCTTACACTGCGAAAAAGGAATTTTCTAAAAAAATTTTTTTGATAACTTTTGCAAACGACTGCGAGGTTAAACTGGGTCACTATAAACACTTTCTACTATATTTAGTAGATTTACAGGGTGGAAATATTATTACATTTCACTGCTTATATATAATTCAGAATTTTATATACTCTGCACAAAATTTAGTAACGGAAATATATAGAGAACCATAAAATAACATTAACAATTCCACTCGCATCTTAATATTTAAATCGACCCTCTGTATATATTGGATATGAGTGAAAGTATTGGTGAGTGACATTATGCAGTAGGTATGTGTGGCTAGGGTAAGGCTGGGAGAGGGGAAGGCTTTCTAGCATTGGCTTGTCAAAAAGTATATATTTTGACAAGTCTTTGTCTTTTCATTGAATAAGCGGAGTATTTATATTAATTTTGGTTTGCGGATTTGTGATTTTTGGAATACTCTTTATTCCAAGGTTATTATACATATGTGTGGCTAGAGTAAGGTTGCGAGGGGAGGAGGCCTTTCAGCAAAGCTTTATCAAAAAGTACATAATGTTTGGCTTCCCATTAAACAGACGGAATATTTATATCAATTTTGAATGAATGCCAAATGGCGGTTTGATAGTGATTAGTTTGCAGATTTGCGTTTTTGGAATGTTATTTATTTCAAGGGTATATTATGTATGACTAGGGTAAGGCTGTGAGGGATGAAGGGCGCCTTTTAGAAAATATATTTTTTGGCAAGTCTCTTGTCCTCTCATTAGATGCAAAACAATGATATTATAATGATTGGCTTTCGGATTAGCAGTTTTGTTCGTTGTTTTTTTTAATGATGAATTTATATTAGGATGTGATATATGGACGACCGGACGACAAGGCTACTAGCAAACACCCACTTGAAAATAGTATTGCGCCATGGACATATAGAATTATTGATGCGAACCTGATCGAGCAATACCTCTTGGGTTATGTTGTTGCTTTCGATACTATTATTATTTCATGATTTTTTATATAGTTTGCTAAATTTTCTCCAAAGTAAATAAAAAACTGAGTTATAAGTGACACAACAGTCAACTTTAATAATTTTGTCCACCCTGAAAACTTAATCTGCAAGCTATTATTTTGGAGTGGTTACTTTGTACTATTGTTATTTTATAAGTCTCTATACATTTCCATTGCTAAATTTTGTGCGGAATATATTAAAAACTGAATTATATGTGACAAAGCACTCAACTTCATCAAGTTTTCCAAGCGATTTTTTCAGAGTGGTTACTTCCTACTCACTGTGTTATCTCACAGTTCTCTACATATTTCTGTTGACAAATTTTGTGCAGAGTTTATAAGGATCTTAAACAGATATGGAAGAAATCAGTCAATATAGTAACCGTAATCACTGACAATTAATTTTGTTTCACATGTTCATTTTGATGTGTAAACATTAACACTCTAATCTAAGTGTTCAATAAAAATATTATTAAAGTGGAATATGCAAAAAGCTATCTTGATGAAATTTCACAAGTTTATATGACATAAAAAGTATTTATCTTTACTACGTATGCTACTGAACGTTCGGGAGCGGGAGTATTCGGAAATTTTGGCAGTTAACATTAGCAGCCAACTTCACACTACTAAAAAGGTGAACCTAACCTTACCAATAACTCATGATTCTGATTTGTTAGTTTTAGGCAATTGTGAGGTAGTTGTAGATGTATAATATATATGAAAGAAAATGAAATCAGAAAAAAAAATTGTGGAACTAAGAAATTACATAAAAAATGCAATTATAAATAATAGGAATTTTAATGGCCACAAAGAAGAAAGATGTCAAGTTTTTGAATTGTTACTGAGGGTTGTTCAGAATGGAGAATCAAATTCTGCCTTATTAATAGGCCCAAGAGGTTCAGGAAAAACAACTGTGAGTCCTAATCAACAAATTCATACACAAAAACATGAAAACAACTATTTTGTAGTTACTAAAAGATGTACTATCTGAACTGCAAAATGATGATGAATTTTCAAGGAATTCTATCACAGTCAAACTGCATGGTTTAGTACATACTGATGACCGCCTAGCTTTGAGAAGTATCACCTCTCAGATGAATTTGGAAAATGTGGTAGATGGAAAAGTATTTGGTAGCTTTGCTGAGAACATGGCTTTTTTATTGGCTTGCCTTCGAACTGGTCAAAAACACACATCAAAAAGTGTCATTTTTATTCTAGAAGAATTTGACTTGTTTTGTTCCCACCACAATCAAACTCTCCTTTATAACTTATTTGATGTTTCACAGTCTGCACAAGCTCCTATATGTGTATTAGGTAAGTGAATTAGTTAGAAAGGAATTTTTCATTGCCAGAATTTTCCAGGTATTACTTGCCGTTTGGATGTTATAGAGTTGTTAGAGAAACGTGTTAAATCTAGATTTTCTCATAGACAAATATTTCTTTTTCCTGGAATTGAGAATGAAGAACAATCTGATTTAGAACACATGCTCAGTAAATTAGAACAATATTTGCTTATACCCGAGAAATCAGATGTAAAAATAAGTATGGCTGTAAAAAAGCAGTGGAATGCTGACATTAAATCTCTCCTGAACGATAAGAAGTTCAAAAGTTTGATGCAGAGGCTATCAGAAATAGATATAAGTGAAAGAACCCTAAGACACATTCTGGTAACATTTTAAAATTAGTTACAAACTATTGAATGTTTTTATTTAAAATTTTCTACTATGATTTTATGCAGAAAGATATGGTTTTTCGTCCTTTGAAATTCTAGTACCCAAATATATCCTGTGGTTTTATGCTATCAAGTGGTTATATGGTATTGAGTGGTTATAATTCATAATTTCTTGATGTTTTTGTCACCCAATTATAATATTTATGTATGTGCTGGTAGAGAGAGGGTCAAGGTAAATCAAAAATATGTTAATTTAACTGTACTTTTCATATTTTACTGACTTCGGTTTTTTATTAAACCATGAGTGCTTAAGTCCTATCCATTCTAGTCAGAAATAAATATACTTTGCACATTGGATAACTGTATCAAGTGTTTTGCTGGAAATTGGGATTCATTACGTCAAGAAGGTAGCGAAGACTAATCTTGTTTAATTAGGCATCATTTTGAAGGAAATTTCATTTTCTGAGGAAATTGTCTTGTCATCATATTATTACATCGTTCAAAGTAGGTTTTAGTCTGGTTTTATTATGCCAATCCATTTTAGGCATTAATATTAGTTTTAGTAACATCAGTTGTTAGTAATCCTTCATTAAGTTATGTGAAGGAATTGACCAACACTTGATAAAAATCTATAATGTATTGAAGTGATACTTTATTGTGAGATTTTCACTGAACAGTTTACTAAACTGTAATAGGTGTTTAACTATACAATAGCTCTCTCAGGCATGTTCATTCTGTATGAACATATGTTGCCGTTTTGTGAACTGTTCAGTGAAAATCTCACAATAAGGTGTTCTTCTTCAAGATGCCAAGTTAATGTGGTCAATGTCATATTAAATTTCAGATCAACATCATCTTTCGTCTGGATGAGGATAAGTTATCTTTGAAGGTGTTCCAAGATCAAATGGATATGTTGGAAAAAGATGATATGATTCAAATACTACAAGATTTGAATGTTGTGGAGTTATGCCTTGTAATTGCTATGAAACACCATGATGAGATATATGAAAATCAACCTATGAATTTTGAAATGATTTTAACACGATACATCAAGTTTGCAAACGCTAATTCAAGTATCCAATCTATGCCCAGACCAGTGATAATGAAAGCTTTTGAACATATTCAAGTAAGAATTTTGATATTCGTTATTGTTGAAGATGAACATTATTAATAACTCTATGATAGAATTAGTACTATAAAAAAAACATTGATTTTTGTATGAATTGAAAAAAAATCATTCATCAGCTTTAAAGGTATAGTAAAGTTACATAATAAAAATAATGAAATTTAATTATAAAATTACCAAAGAACATAGAAATGTCAAAATATGTGGTGTCATCTAAAGATAGTTATATTAAAAACTCTTCTCCACTGAAGCATTAAATTTTGAATTCATTTGATTCTTAAATGTGAAAAAAAAAATAATTCGATTTTTTAAGTGAGTGACGATTACAAATGTTTTATACATATTTTTCAGAATCTTGAGTTAATTTCCATGATGAGTGGTAGTGGGACTAAAATGCAGAAAGAATATCAGTTTTTTAAATTACTAGTAACCCCGCACCAGATCTCTGAGGCTGTGAAAAAATCTTCTGGATTGCCAACAGAAGTTATTCAATGGGCAAACAGTTCTCTAGCTTGAATGGAAACTGGTAAACAATTTTATTTCATATTTATTATTTCAATAAAATATGTATGAAAACAAATTTCATTTTTTTACCTTCTACTGCTACTACAAATCATATTCATTATATATCCTGGGAGCTAGTAACAGATTTTTGATAGTCATTCATTCCCAGTTGTTACCTCCAGGAATGTTTCACGCCATTGTGCCATGTAGGAATGAAAAAAAAAGTCACCTGACTCTCAGGTGTTGGATTACACTTCAGCTGCTTTTAAGAACATATCTGAAAATATTTCTAGTGATTTTTTTGTTTAAACTTTCTTTAAACCAGATGATAAGCTGGAGAAAAAGTCATCATCCGAGTCAGTGAAAGACATTACCCTACCTCACCCATGATTCCGCAGCTGATATCCCCAACACAATTATATGAAACATTCCTGAAATATTTGCTGGGAATACATTGGTTGCAAAAATGTGTCACCAATGAGTATTTGAATTATGTAATTATAAACCACATTCAGCCAGAAATTAAATATTCTTAAAATTATACTTTTTGATATTTTATGTTGAAATGCTTAATCATAAACTGTTTGTTGAATAACTTGGCCTGTGACTTGAAATAGTTGGAACTGAAGACAGAAGTATCAACAACACTTCATTCATAAAAATATTTTTCAGTAGAGTATTTTCGAACTCAAGTTGGTGATATGCAGCTTGCAGATTTTTTACATCTGCATTTCCATTAAAATAGTAAGTATAATCTTGATAGTGCCGTCCTGACTTTGAATTCAGTTTATGGTTGAAATTGGGTTGAGCAATTTTTTCTTCAACCAAAATATATTTTTGTGTAGTTACTTCTATAACAATATCAGTGTCCTCAAAATAATATAAAATTTCGTAACTGGGAGAGAAAATTTGAGGTGGTTCAAGTGACTTTACATTCAATTCATTGAAAATATAACTCGCCAGCAAATTCAGAAAGCTAAAATAGTTTGGGAATTCTCTTTGACAGTTTTCGTTCATCTGCTTGAATGAAATGTAAAATATACATTGTCATATTGTCAACCACTTTTAAACATACACTTTCATTTAGGTCTGAAGTGCTCAAAGTACTTTCATCAACATATACTCCAAAAGCAGTCAACCATTTTTTGAAAGTTCTACGTTTTTTTTTTTGAAATCTGAAATTTCAATTCAGTATTTTTTATGCTGTTCCTACAATGCAATTTGTAACAATTTAAACTATCAATGTGTTTATTGTTTTTAGTTAACATTTTACACGTCTTCTTTTATAACATAATACGTCAAATATCAGTGTTGCCAATCAAGAAATTCCCGAAAATACCATTTTTACGTTAATTTTATCACCGGTCATTGCTGCCAACATGAATATTAACCTTTTTGCGTAGCTAACTTTACGTCGTAATTTCTAAGCGCAAAATCGTAATAATTTTTTACTGTTGAATGGGAATGAAACGCGTGTCATATAATTTCGTTATCATATTTTCGATATTTCAAAAAATACACCTCACGATTTGATCTCCATAAACTTTATTTGAAAAATATATCACATGTTTCGCTATTATCTGAGATTATTTACGTTCCGGACTCGGAGGTCACCCAGGGAGCTATAGCTTCATACGTGGTCATGTTGGATGTTACCTAAGAATGTGAGGTCTTCTAACTGAAACTACGAATGTGCAGTTGTCTCCTGTTGGTAACTCCATGCATATGTGATGTATTCCATACGTCCTGGAACTATAAATGTATAAATACATATATAGTTCCAGGACCCAATTTTATATGGCACATGGATGGTTATGACAAACTGAAGCCATTTGGTTACGCAATCCACGGAGCTATAGATGGATTTTCCAGAAAAACATTGTGGTTACGAGTAGCTTCAAGTAATAACAATCCTAGGATAATAGCGTCATATTACTTAGAAACAATTAGACAATTGAAAGTTGTGCCAACATTGCTGAAAACAGACAAAGGAACAGAAAATAGCATAGTTGGATATTTGCAGAACTATTTAAGGTATTATCACAATGACAATTTAGCAGGATTCAACAGTCATAACAACATAAGGAAAGAGTACTTCGAACCAAAAAATTGAATGATTCTGGTCACAAATGCGACGACAGGGTATAAGTTATTGAATAAGTTTTTTCAAAGATCTCAAAGACAGCATGAACTATGTCGAAAGTTATCAGCTAATTGTGGAAAGTCACATAAACTGTTTTGGTTCTATTATTCAAGGTCAACTAGAGCTTTTGGTGAAAGAATGAAACACTGGGGTACCATAAGGAAACAAAAAAATATAGAACTTCCATGTGACAAACCACAAATTATGTATGATACTCCCCAGCTATTTGATACAATTGACTATGGAAAAGATGTGGAAGAAACAGAAATTATTACTCTACAATATGAGGATGAGTTTTGTTTCATTTCACAGAAAATATATTGGTTATGTGCTGGGCTGTACCGATTTATTCAAGAACCATCCACATTTTTCATTTAAACTATTATAAATAATTATGAATATGCTTTCATTGCAGCCACAATAATTTATGAGCTGTGATTCGGGGGAGAATGGTTACGAATCTCTCCAATAAAGCTGTTGAATCTATTTTAGATCTGATATGCCATTATTGTTATTCCAACCCGCCAGATTCTAGGCGGGTTGGAATAAATGTTTTTCAACCTTTTCCATGACACGACCTCCTTAGTAAGAAAAAATAGTATGCGACTCCCCGACCCTTTTTTTATGTATGTTTTTATTTTATGTAACAAATATTCACTCCATACAACTTTTTGATGCGTTTTAATAATTAGCATATAAATACATAATAAAGTACGTAAAAATAATCTTTCACATCGAAAAAGTCGCTAATTGATAACTAACGCAATTTACACGCATAGGTACGAACGACCAAGGCCGATGCTGGCCGTCCGACCGAGAAGTTACATTATTCCCGAGCCAACCCTGGACTAACCTGTTTATTTATAGATAACAACCGGTAATTGCTGACATTGCATTCTTGCCGAACTTTATCTCTTAATTGTTTACAACCATTGTTTGATGTTTACAACCTATAACATATCATAAGCATTTTAACCAAGACTTATCTTTTGATGATTATGAATTCTACCC